TGCAGGTTGTATCGATCTATGTTTGAAATAAATATTGTAAATGATTAAAATTATTTCTTTAAGCCCTAGAGTTTTTTGCTTATTCTTCTCAGGCGAATTAGTCTTACGAAAAAGCTAAATCGGTTGGGGAGTTTTCTATTGTAAATGTAAATAATCTAATTTGCTGACTTACAAAATGTATTTATTTGGTCTGTTTGAAATTAAGACTGACGGGATCCTTGTCACACATGGGCGCTACTACTGACATAGCTGTCACAATTCCGCGCATTGTAATGGCAGTCTTTAGTCGCGCTACGGGTAACTGATGCACTCCCGATCACTGATCTACTATTAAAAATATAATTATGTGAAAGGACGGAAGGACGGAAGAAAGGAAGAAGACAGAGGAAGGTTAAAAGTAAAACAAAAAATAGATCTTATAATTATTATAATACACCACATTTTTTTTATTATTTTCATTCTTGTATCTTATTGTTTTGTCAACCTTTCAATTTGAGTTTTGATACTATTTTTTCTATGTAACAAAATTAAACAGGAAACATAAGATAATTTTCAATAAGGTACAATTTAGTTTGTAGAATGAATACACGTAAAGATAACAAAAAACGTTAAGTGCTACTATGTGATAATAAATCAAATCGTAATACTCAAAAATTGGGTACCTCAGTGTACATACATCAAAACTTTACGACCGATTTTGTCAAATACCTATTACTTGGTTGTAGGACAGTTTACAATCAGTCATTCAAACAGGCACTAGACAAGGGTAATCACTAGATATACAAATTAATTGTGCCGACAAAGAAGACACAATAAGAAAAAATTGTCACAGCATGATACATAAAGCTATTTTCACTTCTCATGCTCAAGTTAAAATAAAATAGGATTTTATGCTCTAGTGCATAAAATAAAAAAACATCACATTAAATATGTCTAATTGTTGTAATTTTAATTACATAATCTTTTATTTGTAATATTGCTGTTTAATTTCCGCGCAATCGAAGTGAAAATCAGAGTGTATAACTCGTTCATAAAACCCATTTTATCCTCGACCTAAGTATCCACTCTCGCCTGCGGCTCGGTTGGATACACTCGTGTCGGGTAAAATGAAGAGTTTTATGCACTTGCTGTACAATCTACTATTGTTAGTGTGACAACAAATATACCTTACACTGTATACAAACATTTGTAGTTCGTGTTATAAAGCTACTCACACTGAGGCTAGCAAATCTAACTTTCTAATTTTAACATGTAATTTATTATTTAATAAACTATTTTAGTAAACTATTTACCAATTTTATGTACAACTTTTCCATTAGCAGTAACACAATAGTTTTACACAAATTTCCGTACAAATTGTCAGACAAACTGTTAACAAAAATTGTTTGTTTAATGCGATATGGAATATTATTTATACACTCCTTAGTATATTTTAATATACTAGGGGACGTTTTTCAAACAAAGATTATAAATATTAAGCATTAAACGTTGCATCAGAAACCGAGAGACATTTTACATAAAGTCTCTCTGTTATGTATTTGAGAAAAGAAATCCGTAAGTACTATAATGTACCTTACTTTGTTTAGTTTAACCCTTAACCGGTCTTACGGCCGGCTAAGAGTTACGATAATGGACCTTATTGACTAACATCTATATCAGAGCCGATGAACGAAGGAACACACGGCAAATTTTGAACTTTATATTCGTATTTCAATAGAACATTTTTTGCCCCGTTTTTATCTCTATGAATACACTACAGTATACGTAACGGTGTGGGTATTTAGAGACGTGCAGTCCTTGCTGTACGTTTTCTTCAAAACATTTGCTGCAGTTTTTAGTTGTAAACGCTTCGCCTTAGATTTACAAATTTTTCTTTTTTTAAATACCATTGTGTCTAAATTTATGGTGACCCTTACAAGTTCCCTTTGTTCATGAAATGGAACCCGGCGCCGTAAACCACGAGCGCGCCGGCCTCATTGCCGAAATACTCGTGGACAATCGTGTGGTTAACCTTTTGATCGTGTATATACTTGTCAAACTTTAACCGCTGCGCCCGCCTCTGTTCGTAGCGTTGCTGTTTCTTGTCGAACCATTTGAGTTGGAATTTGGTGTATTCTTCTACGTGTGCAGTTTTGCAAGAGATCGCACATCCCAGTTGCTTTTCTGTAAACTCTATCATTCCTAATTTTTGCATCTATATCTTTGACGAATCGTAATCTTATTTTTTTCTCAGTGACGCTCTTTAGTTTCGTATACAACTTTACCCTTTTTCAGCGTTTTGTGCTTAAACCTGTCGCTGGTTCTCGTGCATGTGACTATCGGAGTTTTGGTGCCCGGATCAACTGCTATAACTTTATTATATTTCCTATAACAACTGTTGTTGTTTTCAACTGCTTCTTCTTTTCTCACTTCCTTGGCTTTACATTTGTACCCTTTATCAACTAATCTATTTATCGACATTCAAACGCAAAGACCGTAGGTGCAAAAACTATAACTCGTGTTGAATATTTACAAACAGCGGGACAAACTTCCAAAAATTTTGCTTTACTCCTTTCTCGGTAACATTGTTGGCGTTAAACTAATCACCGATTTTGTTATCACTGTACTTATTTTTATAGAATGCGTTGAAACACGACTCGTCGACCTGCGCCTTCATTGAATTTTCGAAAAACTTAAAAAACATGTATCGCTTTAAACGTTTGAAAGCGTACGTGCGTGTGTATATTCCTCTCCAAAATTGTAGTATACTCCTTGGCGATAGCCATTAAAGTGAACGACCTCAACGCTTCGTCATACACCACGTTGTTATTCAATTGCTTGTATTTTTCAATAATATCCAATGGATCTTGTCTGCTCTTCAACACGTAGGTGAATTGTAAAGGTTCAAACTTTGGAAACAGGAGAGGAAATTCATCACGAGTACAGTAATGTTCGAAAAAGTAATTTATCAAATATGACAATTCTATTTTATTTGTATTTTATTCAATGAACAAAATTCAACCCCGAGTCTTGACAACTCTTTTACGTCGTTTCGAATCGAATTCAATAATTCAACTCTTTATCTGCCAGCGTACAGAGGAAAGAATAAATTCCCTTTTTGACTAGTGGTCGAAAAGGCTCGAGCCTTTTAGCCCTTTTTTAAGACTCGCCGCTTTATAGCGATGGCTAGAAGGCTAAAAAGCTAAATAACTCTCAAGCCCTCGAGGCTAATTGTATTTATGACTTTTGCTAGCCGTCAAAAAGGCTCAAGCCTTGTAGCCCTAAATTTAAAGCTTGCGAGTCTTTTTTAAAGGCGGACTCACAAAACAGTACCTAGTTCTAAAATGGCTCACTAAAAAAGGGCTTGAGGCTTTTTTTAGGCCTAGGCTTTTTTAAAGCCTTTTTAGAATAGTGGCGTCGTGGCGTAGTGGTTAGTAATCCTGACTGCTAATCCAGAGGTCGTGGGTTCGATTCCCACCGAGGACAAATGTTTGTGTAATGAACATGATAATTTGTTCTGTGTCTATAAATGTATATGTTTGTTTATCGGTTGTCTAGTATCCATAACACAAGCTTTAGTTTGCTTACTTTGGGACTAGATAGCGTTGTGTGCATATGTAGTGACATATTTATTATTATCCATTTATTATTATTAATATTGTAGCCATCACTATAAAGCGGTGAGTCTTAAAAAAAGGCTAAAAAGCTCGAGCCTTTTTGACCGCTAACGCCAGTCTTCTAAAAAGGCTTTAAAAAAAGCCTCGGCCTAAAAAAGCCTCAAACCCTTTTATAGTGAGCAATTTTAGAACTACTGATTTGTGAGTCCGCCTTTAAAAATGGCTCGCAAGCTTTAAATTTAGTTCTAAAAGGCTCGAGCCTTTTCGAACTCTTTTGTGAGTCCGCCTTTAAAAAAGACTCGCAAACTTTAAATTTAGGGCTAAAAGGCTCGAGCCTTTTCGACCACCATTTTTGACACAATATACTGACACTTCGTGGTTAATGTTCGAAAAAGTAATTTATCAAATATGACAATTCTATTTTATTTGTATTTTATTCAATGAACAAAATTCAACTCCGAGTCTTGACAACTCTTTTACGTCGTTTCGAATCGAATTCAATAATTCAACTCTTATCTGCCAGCGTACAGAGGAAAGAATAAATTCCCTTTTTGACACAATATACTGACACTTCGTGGTTGTCACGAGCACGCTTCTTTCGGTTTAACCCCTAAATACCTGTGTACCTGCCTAATTCTTTAGTGTCTGCTAAACAGTGACAAGATATTGCCGCATTTATTTTTAGTTTTCAAGTTTTTAATAAACACAGTTCCATACGGAACATAATAAATAGTATTAGAGTGTGCAATTTTTACTCTAGTTTTTTCTGTAGATAATAACTAAAAACTCATTGAATTTATATATTGTTTTGATTCTATACTTATGTCGTTTGAGTTGATGTTGAGATGTCAAAAATATTACTTCAAGTTATTGAGGTTTTGTCTTTTATTTTTATCATAATTTGTTCCGTTTTTGCTATACCCAACGCGTTCGATGCCATGTCTGCAATGTTTTTTTATGTGAAAAACATCGTTTGTTGTCTGTTCCATATGTGCCCCAAATAATTAAAGCTGTACCAATCACAAGTCTGGTTTAATTCTGCTTTCCCCTTTCCATCACCGGGGGATAAGACGCAGGCTGAGATATAGGCTGATATTCCAACGCTTCCACATTTATATGGCGAACGGCTATGGAGTGGAATTCACTGCCTACAGATTTATTTCCCGAACGCTTATAACTCGGGCCTTGAAAAGTCAAGGCGAGAGCGAATAGGCATTATTTAGGTGTATAACGGGTGAGATCGAGGTCTAATTCGCATTTTATTGTAAAAAAAATCAAAATAAAAAGTTCCCATTTTTTATTTTTTTGAAGACTGAACTTCAGAAGACTAAAGTACATATGTTTTTGTTTGTTTTATTTCGTGAAGAATTTTATGTTCCTTTATTCTTAGTTTTTAAGATTTTTGACAAATATAAGTTTATATTTCCTTTTAATAGTATTTTTTTATTTAACTCAACATGCCTCTATAATCAACGTTATCAGCAAGGACACTTTCGATCTTGTAATAAGTCTCACAAATCAATATCATTATGATCTAATAATATTATTTCTAGATACAACATAGAATAAATGATAAAATAGAAACGGTATAAATTTTCCAAATTTACTATATGTGGTACAATGACTCGGCGAAAATAGTAATAGTGTCCTATGAAAATGACAATAGCATTTAAGGGTTAAGCACTTTAAACTTGATGAACGGGCGTGGTCACTTATCCCGCACGAATTACAGGTTTTCACACAATTGTCGCCCTGCATCATTTATTTATCTTGTACTTTCACTTGAATTCTTCATGAAATACATAAAATTTGGCGGCAAAAAATATTCATTTGTTAGGCACTGATCCAAGTTTTCAGCCCCTTCTCAAGAATAAAAATTATTATTTATGGATACAATGCGGCTTATTATTCAGTAAACATAGGTGGTCAATAAGTTATCATAGTCCAATTAAGGGTTAAAAAAAAACAAACTATACTAATTAGTCCACTGATTAATTAGTACAAATAACACTAGTATGCAGTCCAACTGAAATATTGTAAATTACATACAAATCTCGATCAATTCTCAGAGTTTTGTACATAATTAAATACAATCTTACATTTCCTATTTAACGAGTTCTTTTAAAAAAATCATTGTTTAATACAAATAAAAACAAACTTCATTTTCGTGTGATTCTTAATTTACACGGCGGAGTGGAAAAATGAGGTATCTTACCTATACATTAAATTTAATACATCGCTCGGGACTTTTTGGAAATTGATTCCTAGTTCACAGTGCTTAGTATAGTTATTTTTAAAAGTGCAAGTGGGTAGTTTTTTAAAGGCAAATACGGGTGTACTTACCTTTTATACCCAGAAAAACAGCACCTACTAACACAAATACCTGAATTCGAATTAGTACGGGCATTAGAACAAGTGTCTAAGCGACGGAAAACATCGAAGACTTGCATAGCTTGGTGATTGTTTTCTGAAAGACATTTCAAAGCTACTGCGTTGAGTTTGACGAGGGCATAATGGCCTAACATGCTCTTTAAAGCGGGCAGTGCCCTGCAAGGAAAGGCGAGTAACTAGAAGATACAAATTACACGCGATAAAAACTATATTTCATCTTATAACAATTTCCTACCTAAAGGCAATTATTTTTCTTTTACAAATTTTACGCCTACCACGTCTGGTAGTTGCTATCTTATTCATAATGCTAACCAGCAAATGCGGGAAGTCTATATCTTACTTTTACAAATAACGTACACAATACTTCCGTTACTTATTATTGCTAAGGGAGGTAGAACTTGCCAGGCAAATACTTACAATATTAAGTGCTAAATACTATAAAATTCGCATTTAATGGGAACCGTTTGTCGTTCGAATAACACTTACTCTAGTCTTAACATGTAGTTTGTAAAACTAGATGTTTGGTTTACACTTGACCCTTACTATCCTACGTATTGGTAGACAAGACACAAGTCGTTGGCTAAATTCGTAAACCTCGTAACTTCCATAAATGTGAACTTTTGAGTAGGCACAAAAGAAAACAGGTTTGCTAGAACTAATTATATGTCAGCCTATGATTACACTTTTTTTATAACTTAAAAAAGGTCTAGAAATTATATTTTAAGCTTCAATTGCCCGATATTGAGCTTGAAGAGTAAAAAAGGGATTTCATCTAAAAACAGATTTTTCAAATTTAGCCGACTAAGTGTGTTGGGTGTACTGTTGGAACGCAATCGATTTTAAGAGTCTACTTGTCGGCCAATATGTTGGATATCGAATATTGTAACATTTGATTACACACTTATAATATCATATAGATGATTAGTGTACAGGCTCGTCTAAGAACTGCTAGCGCATTAATAATCATATTCGTGAGAAAACACTTGACTACCATTTTAATAAAGTGTGTACGTTCTTCCACCCTCGCTGCCAAAACAATTTTTTGCGACAACACTATTGATAATTTTAATTCGGTTTATTTGTAACTATGTATGAATTACTTCATGATTTTTGTGGACGAATTACAGGCAAAAGTTGATATACATTACTAGATCCCAGTATATTCTATCGCATTTGCACGAAAGAATGTTCTCATATTTGTAAAGTTTCCAGAAAGTTCCGAGCGATAAACGGCATTGTTCGTTGGGAGGCCGATCTCCGCACTTGCACAAGGGTCGCGCGGTGAGCAACCCTCACTACCACACTCAGTATGGGGAGTAGTACCCACCACGCCTGAAAGGTCTGCAAATAAGGTGTTTGGTTAATATAAGGACTTTCACGAAACTTATAAAATACGGAAAAAGCGAATTTTGTTGACATAAACCACTACATACAGAAAGGTATAACGAGAACACACAAGCATTCGATTGTATCTGCAAATAATTTTAGTTTAATTTTAAATAAAAAAAACTATTAATGTAATATAAAATAAAAAGAAGATTAGTAATTTGATAGACTTAACCGTTGATAATAAATGAAAACAAAAATAAAAACGACACCCAATAATTGCAAATAATACTGGGAGCTCGGTGAACTTAGCGGATATCATGTAATAATGTAAATTTCATTCATTCCTTTTATTTTTATTGTACTATGAGTAGAATAGATAGCTTGTAAGTGTACTACCAAAATGGACTGTATATTGTCTGCAATATTTATTTATTTAATAATATGCCAGCACCAAAATTCGCTTCGCAGTGAAGCCAGCCCAAGCTGGGAACAAAAGTACTTATGGTCTGGATAATATCGACGCCGCCCCTTGATGACTGCAGACTGATGTTCACTTGGCCACTGCTTGCACTAAGTTGACGTTATTTCAAAATATACAAGGCATATGTATGCTTTCCATACTTTCACAGAAAAACTATGGTGGAGCGTATTTTGTCTGATATAGTACATGACGTTGTTTCCAGCTTATGCAGTGGCAAAATACGGACAAATTTAGTACATGTAAACGTTGATAAACTATTTTTAAAGTTAAATTTGACAGATCTAACTTAAAAATAATGTATCAGGGACATTAGAATTGTCAAATTTCGCACCCCTCACAGAACAATGGCATAAGAGGAGTTACGTCAAAAATGTTTATTACTCCACTAGATATCCAAATCCTCTCCAATTTTTGTAACTCTATCGACGTAGATAGAGTTACAAGAATTGGAGAGAATGTGGGTTATATTTTTCTGTATCTAATGGAGCTATAAGCATTTTTGACGTAACTCCAGTAACTTCAATTATGCCATTCTTCCATGAGGAGTGCGATTTAATGAAGTGAAATGACTGTAACCCACAATCCTCGTGCAATCCTATACAAAAATGTGTAACTACTAGATTTGCGAGAATCGTTCTACTTATAGCAATTGCACTCATGCAAGCTCAATCGTGCGTAATCATAAATAAATTATACGATAATAGAAGAGAGTTACAGTGCATATTCTTATAAGTGTAGTACTAAAACTGACTAGTGTTTTTTTACCATGAAAGAATAATGCCAGATGTATGTATGTCTTGTATTACTGTTCACAATATTGAACAGTAATACAAGACACACAATTTAAGTCGAAATCACATTAAACCGGTAAGAAAGCTTTATGATTTTCTCACTCTTATTGCATAACCATAAAGCTGTTTTGGATCTGCTCAACAAGTTTCTTGAACTAAACATAAAATAATGTAAAGACAAAGAATTTCCACTACAAAAACGTCTTCATCCAAATTGCATTAAATTGAGTAACATAAATAATTTCATTTGCGCATTCCCAATTCAAAACTACTAAAGGTTGTGCTCAACATGAAGGAGACAGCGTGAAAATTTAATTTGTTATTAGAAAAAATAGCACTAGTGCGTGCATACGCTAGCAAATTCAAACACGGTCCACATTTATAGACACCAAAGGAAAAAGGTAGGATGAAGCATTGAAAATTCAGATTCTTCTATCACAACCTTTATTCAGAGTATAGTGTATAGAGGGTATAAAATAAATATCTTCAATTGAACATAACATTGCAACAATATTCAGAACGATAATGCTACCTACAGGTAGGAGATGTTACAGCACAAGCAAATACCAAATTTCCCAATACAAATGCATTTTCTCACAAATATACAATATACACGTTACTCTAAGTGGTTGTACTTAATTTAAAATCATTCAGTGCTGACATCTTCTATTAAAAAAAACAGGCATATGTAGCTCGCAACCAAGTAATAATAATCTAACACAGACAATAATAGCGTTTTCTTATAAAAAGATACAATTCATTTCAGTTAAAACAGGCATTAAAAGTCATGCCCAACACCTGATTGTCAAATCCACCTTATTGTAAACAATTTAGAATATATACGTAATCCACATGCTCATGCTTGACAGCTACAAGAATCAAACAAGTTCAAAAGCTTTCTATGACTTCTAAAAATTGATACTTATGCTAATATAGCTGCAAGCTACACACTCCTGCAGTACAATAACAATTTAGTATGGATATTCCATTACCTGGGTTTGACTTATGTTCAAAGAGAATACTTAAAAAGTAGAAGTACAACAAGCAATATGTACTCTCATAAACCTTATTGGTTATGCTGCGATAAATCTATGCTAGTCAAATAAGGCCACAAGTTCCAAATTGAATAATATTTTTTGATATAAACATCCTCTATTCGTACCGAGAAAGTCAACTGCGGAGGTCAGTACTGTTAACGTAACACAACGTGGGCTGTGGCATTGAAATAAGTTACAGAATACTCATACAAAAAATTCAAGGCCTAATATTCTGGGAGCTTTTGTCAGATGATCTTTTTTCAATAAACTTTACATAGTATTTTTCTGCTCTGATTGCAGCAAAAACGTCGTATCTTATAATATAGTTTATGAAATATCCATACTAGTACAGTCTGCAGAAGGAACACGTTCATCATAACACGTCTCGTCTGTTAGAATTTTTAGTCTGATGCAAAAGAATGAACAAAAAACTGATGACTCATTCCGCCTTTAGCATAAGCACAGACGCTCGTCTGTGTCGCCTAAAGCCAGCATAGCACAGCGGCATTAATTATCATATTACTGCCCCGCGCCCTTGTCCGCCCCGTATATATCACATTATTTCAAATTCGAATAATGCGATTCGGCTGAGACTATCTGAATTCATAGTACCGATTCTAGTGACGTCACCAGCTTTAGTCTAGAATTGTTTGAACAATGTGACGCGTTCGACGCAGACCAATAATAAAACGACGACCGACTCCGATGCATACATCGTATACGGTGCGTATAAGAGCGCTTTGAACATTGGGACGTGAAGACGGGTCCTATTACGATGAACATGAGAATAGAGATGTGTGTCAGTAAGGGTAGTACCTGCCGCGGCGCATGGGCCGGTAGCCGGAATAGTAGAAGCCGCCGCGGAACGACCGGCCGCGTCCGCGCATGCCCCGCGGTGGCCGGTTCGTCGACGAAAGACCCGGCTTGTTAGTGCGTTTCGGCATCACCTGCGTGAGTTAAACAGTTTGACGTCGTGAGAGAAACTCCGGTAAATAAATTTGTAATTCAAACTGCGACTTCACACTTTCTGATCAATGTAACTTTTAACTTGGTCTTAACATTATTAGTGTTATACAATGTTGAGATGAATGTGGATGACTGACAAGCTTAGCAAACAATCGCAAGTTCGCACAACCTGACAGAGCAAATTACTTCAGATCCAAAATTCCTTTATAGTTGTGAAAAGATACGAGTACCTTGATCTGCCGTCCTCTGAATAGTGACTCGTCCATGGCCATTGCTGTCTGTACACTATCTTTGTCTCCGAATTCTATATATGCGAAGCCTTTCGGGTGCCCATCGAATTTATTACATAATATTGTAACCCTGCAATAATGTTTCAATTGATTTTAGACCTGTCATTCTAAGATTACACACCGCACATTTAAATCGACTATATACGTCACTAAATGAAAAAGTCAGGTTTGGAAAAGAGACACTAAAGTTTTTTGAAAAAGTGAGAGTTTAGTATAATAACGGTATTATTATCAATGTGCGATGCATAGACAGCAAGCCTATAATTTTAAATTTTATACCAAAAACTAAAAAAAAGGCGCCAAAGTACAATGGTGTTGATATACATGGCTATTTCATGTCACAAACAATAAAGAAGAAATATAAAAGTTACGTACTAAACATCTATATAATAGCCGATATGTTCTCATAATCATGTATTATTATAATTTATTTATGCATTCTTGTTTTCATATACAAAATTCAATAAAGGGCGAAGTTACGAAACTGTCGTTATAAAGTTTTGGTGACTTTGAAATTAATAAATTTTTGTAAGGTAAGATTTAGATTTTTTTAAATAAAAGATTAAGGCTTCTTAATATAACATTTTTTGTTTTGGTTAACTATTGCAGATGCACTTGCACTGTCTTAGTGGATGAATAGAGATGAAAGAGTTTTACTATATCACCTACGCTGAAAACTGGATTTTTTACGATAATCACAAATGTTAAACACTGTGGGTGAACCCCAGCAACAAGCCCAAACACTGTCCAAAAAATATACTTATTCATATTTTTCCGCAATTCACATAATTAGGGGAATCTCACTCCCCACTTATTCTACTGCGAGTGTATTGATAACATGGCATGTATATTTTTATTAAGTAATTGCTATTATGTTAAAACGCTGATTTCTATTGAATAATACCGCAATTTCACACAAACGTTAAAATGTTTGTGTGAAATTACGTTACGTTACATTTAAAAAACAATACGGGTGCGGGTCGGGACCGCGACGCAGATCGGGCGCGTGTCGGGACCTCGACACGGCTCTAATTCCGTGTATTTAAATGGATGATAACACGCTGAGCGCGGGCGCCCCGCGCGCTTATGTCTGCCGCGGTCCCGATCGGACTCGCTCCCGCTCTATATGTTTCACCCTTTAACCCTATTTTATAAAACATAAAAAATGTGCTGCATGCTGTGTAAAATTTTTCTTAACGCAAAAAACGAAGTTGCAGAAACAAATTCGTTCATATGTACATCTTAGCGACATCGTAGAATAATTTATTTGGACCTAAACCTGCTTTTATATATTATACAATACCTATTAATAGAGCCGCAACCATGGAAATGCTGTTCCAGCTCCTCAGCTGTGGCCCCATAGTCCACATTGCCGACATACACTGATCTATTATCTGCTTCGATCTTCTCCTCTATAGACATGTTCAGAGGACTCGCTGTGTAATAAATTAAAACGCTTATTAAAATTATTGTTACAAAAAGATGTTCCTAGTTTGCACAATTCATTATTGGACACAGGAGAAAAACATTGCTTTTTTGCAAAGACGTGATCTTAAACTATGTAGTAAATATGCATAGGTTAGTCAAGGAAATAAATTTGAATCTAATTATAATTCAAAGATTTCAGATGGTATATTGTATTGTATCATGTTCTAATTTATTTAGTAACTTGGCACAGACCAGAAACAAAACTGTAAGCCGATTGTACGAGGTTCTACGCGAGAGCAGGCCCACAATTTTTTCTGTAGTCAGCTTCCACGCTTACAGTTACATATCGAGTTCTTAGGTTTTCGCGATGTTACACACAAGACACGAAACTTTCTTATTTTATTTTATTTATTTTATTCAATGAAATTCTTTTTTAATCTAAATCACGTATATTTGTTTTTTAAACAAACCAACGTTTTAGGCTCTTTCCATATTCATGGTCACAGCTAACCACGGAACCTGGTAAGAGCCCCATTAGATTTAGAGTATTAGATCCGAAAATATAGTTTGATTTCCTACAGTTACATTCAGATTAAATGCTCAATGGGCAGGTTCCAGCCAAAACATTATGTGCCTATACGTCAAATTGAATATTTTGAAATTTTACCCTAAAATAAGCTAATAAAGCATAAAACTCACTGAGTCCAGGCGGACTGCCCATGCTCATCTGCTTATCCACTTCAGTCTGCATTTGTTTGAGCTTTTCTGCCTCCTCCTCCATCTCACGCACGCGCGCTTTGATCGCCGCGAGGTCTGGCACTTCGTTACCGGCCGCCTCGTCGCCACCCTGGATAAATTATTTTATAGTACTATAGAAAAATGCATAAGTCACAAATATGTAGTTAAGTATAGTTTGAAACAATGAAAGGGGTACAGAGTTAGTAGAGATACAAATTTCAAAGCCTCCTATCACGGAAACTATTAGAGGTAGGTAGGTGCTCGAAGGAATGTCATAGAGGGTAACACTGGTCAACAGCTTGGGTTAAAAAAAATTCGAGATGGCGATTTCAAAATGGCGACCGAAGAAAAACTTGTTTCGATTCGGCTGAAAATTGGGATGTGAGGGTCTTTAGGAGTCCTTAATCATAATTTGGGGTCAAAAGTTTCTTTTCGCCATGTTTTAATATGGCTGCCATATCACTGTTTTTTCCGATTAAAAATAGCCGCCGAAAGAGATTCGCTCTGATTTGGCTGAAAATAAGCATGTGAAGGCCTCTAGAAGTGCAAGAAAGATATATAACTTATAATATAATAACTATGTAACTTATAAGATAAATAACTTGTGCTCAAAATTTGTTTTTCGCCATTTTCAAATATGGCCGTCATAGAAGCGTTCGTTTGTTAAAAAAAAATTGCTCAGATCCCTTTGAAAATTGGGGGTCTCTATAGGTTTTTGATAATAATTTGCGGACAAAATTTATTTTTCTCCTTTTTTCAATATGGCTGCCAAAACTACAAACTCTTTTAGCGGCAGATAAAAATTGCCTCTAATTCGATTGAACATGCGGGGTCTCTAAGAATGTTTAATAATAATTAACGGTCAAAATTTATTTTCCTGCCATTTTTCGCTATACTTTTTTGGCGATAGATAAAAGTTTATTCTAATTTGACTGAAAATTGCATGGTTTCAATCATAATTTGGGGTAAAAATTTTTTTTCCGCCGTTTTTCGATGTAGCCGTAATTTTTTAAATAAATGGCTGCTGAAAAAACTTGCTTTGCTCGGACTGAAAATTCGGATGAAAAGATTTCTAAGATTGTTTGATAATAATTAGTGGTCAAAATATATTTTTGCAATTTTTAAATATGGCCGCCATTAAGGAGCCATTTAAATTTTTTTAAAACAAAGTCCTAAGTGCCGAGGTCATAGGCCGAGACCTGCGGAGGGCGAAGCCCGAAGCAACCGCACGCCATCGCATGGAGGTAATATACAGAGGCGTAATAGATTACGAGTACAAGATCTCACAATTGTAAAAATGTAAGACATACTTCCCGATGTAGTGGAAATGAGATACTTATTATAGCGATGTTGTATGTCAACCGTCTCTCTGTTAGATTGCATTTTCTTGAAAGCGATGACAAAAAGATGTATTTAGGGGGGAAAAAATGCCAAAGTACTGCCGTATTTCCTGTACTAGAAATAGCAAAACAACGATAACCCAAAATACTCAGACCAGAACCAACTTAGAAATGTTTGTTTCCCCGCCCTCCCCGTGAGCCCGACCCCACCATAGGTGGGGTACAGAGCTTGTATGTTGTATACATACTCAATAAAATCTCAGTTCTTTATTTTAAAAATACACATTTCCTCGACACATTTTGTTGCAATGCATGTTATTGGTAAACAATTAAGTACAATATATTGTTGGTTAAGTAGTTTGGCAGTAGTGGTAAGTATATACATATATTTTATTCATCAATGGGGTTTATTTTCAAACAAAAAATGATTTCAACTTTGTTCACCACTTTAGTTTTTTTAAATGTATAGATTTATTTTTCAAAGTGGTGGCCATGTATAAGTTCTATATATAATAATAATGTGCACTTGCACTAAACTTAAGTACGTCTTAAACCACTTCTTATGATTTCGAGTGCTTTAAATCATACTCAAATCCTGACTTGAGCATTGAGTAGAATTCTGGAATACGACCCCTAGTATTCTAAAAGTCTTTATGTCACTCTTACTTTGTGACTAGAAAAAATTAATCATTACTTCAAAATCAATATAATTTTTATACTCTCATTCTTATTCTGTTAAACAGTACAACTTAGGTAATAGCTGTAATAATTAATCAGTCACTTCAAGTAATTTAATCATTATATTTTTGGTTATATCAATCCAGCTATTGTTTAATGTAGTTAATCTATTATAGCCATAAATGTACCTCATAAGAGAAACAAAGGGAAATATGTCATACATTCTTGCATGCAAATACACCATAGTAAAATAAATATGTTCTTAACATTAATAATTCTGCTGATGCCAATAATTCAGTAAAGTACGAAATTTTAGAAAGCCCAGTGAACAAAAGCTATTCAAAATATAATTAAGATTATACTGCCACACACATAAAGAAGTATAATATTAATAATTCATGTCGTTGCAGCCTTCTGCTATCCTTGAATATTAATTTATTGAATTTCATCCCAAAACAGTAGACACTATGGACGAATTACAGGTATTTCAAGTTGATAGAGCAAAAAAAATAAAAACACTTCGACAGTCTGTCCATCTATCCGTGTGTTCTCTATCTATCAGTGAATTCTGTTAAATATTTACTCACCCCGAGGCTGCTGTCGGTCATATTGAGGGAACCGTTTGTTCCGTCTAAATGATTGTTGTCAATTGAGTCTAAATAATCATCATTTTCTGCCATTGCCACCTCCTGATGTTATCATTAATACAGCAAACAATTTGTCTACACGAAATACAAACACCCTGAAAAATATCATTAGTGAAAACAGCGTTATCTTCAAAGAAATATTTCAGTGATTACGGGGAAGCTTTCCGACGTACCGGTAACCAAATCCGTTATACCAATGACCTAATTGTGAAATATTATTGGCATATTCTCGTGACACGAGAATGTACCACAACAACAAATATAAATTTATGAATTTCTTACTATGGTCTCGATATTTTTGGATTTGTTTCAGCGAAATTATTTAGAAAATAATACAAGCCAAACAATTTCACTGACAAATGACAATCATACACGCAGTGTGACCATAATATTCGTCTAATTTCAATGATAGTAAAATTTAATGTGTCAACCACAGGTGTCAAGTAATTATAAATACTATGAACTGTAAGTAAAAATATTTACTAAGTCTTATGTCCGTAAAGCTTAAGCCACCGCCAAATGTTAAACTTGATTATATTGATATAATTTTATTAGGCATTTGCACAATTTTGCCATACATTTTTGTAATGTTTTTGTAACATTTCAACTCTATTTGTCAGCCAGCCTCTTCCATAGTGTTGGTCATGGAAATAATTGAATTTTGAAAGAAAAATATTTTTCTGAAAAATAAATATTTTTTTGAAATTTTTTCAATATTTTTCCTTTCATTTTTTCCTTAGACTATTCCTTAATTTTTTTCCATCCTCTAAGATTTTTCCACATTTGACGTTGACACCTGCCAACAACAAGTGGTGGTGGTGTGGTTCCTGGAAGTTTTATTTCGCTGTTGTGAAATCATAATGTCGTTTCTATGTGGCTTATAAACTTTATTTTATAATTCACGCTAAATAAAACTTCAAAGATATATTTAAACGTAGAACGTAATATGAGTCTTCAAAATTATATTTTTCTAAATTTTCAAATTTTTCGGGAATTTTTCCGGAATAATATCCACATCTCGATTAATTATAGTGTGTTATGTATGATTACCAAGATTTGAAATATTTTTTCTGAAATTTACCGAACAGTAGCCTTTTCACAGTCGAGATTTGTTTGAATAATTTTAAATTAACGGAAAACTCTTGAGGCTTAGAAATTGTTTGTTTGTTTGTTTCTCAAATAAGAAAATTATCAGATTAATGTCAGAAGTAGTCAGAACGTAATATAATTAGAAAAATATCATCATACATTGTTATCTAAGATCGTTTCAGTTTAAAAAATTAATTACGGCCACGGGCAAGAACTGCTCAATTAATAGATGCGTATTATGAAATATTTGTTAAAGAAATTTATATTCAATTTTACACTATAGAATCGATAAATCGAGTCGGTTATTTCATTTTATACAATAGCGAATCTCGTGTCAGAACAAATCTCCTAAATCCTCTAAAGGATGGAAAAAAATCTAAGGAATAAATGCACGTGCTATGCGGGTTGTTTTCTTTTGCTTTGAGCTTTGCAATGTGATACTTTTTGAAGTTATCTAAGGAAATATATACTTGAGTTGGATTTCGGTTTATTGTTCTCGACTTTTTTTGGTTTGTTGTTAACTTTTTTATTTGTTGCGTTGTTCGTTTAACGTTCGTGTAACGTTTGATGAAATGTAGGCAACATAACAATTAAATTCTATTAATTGTGTTTTTGTTTGTTCTCAAACTATTATCTAAATGATTTCTTTCAACATTATAAATGGTTTCGTTTTGATATTTAATCGATTTTTTTCGATTCGGTTTTTATCACACATCTCTATAAACAAGCGCTGCTAATGCCAATTATTCAAAATCCCCAAAAATTGCGGCTAAAATCCCCAAATTTGGGGAGAGCAAAGTTCATATTCCTCACAAATTTCCCACATCTCGTGTTTTCATTGTTTATTACAAATACATCGCTTAAAAATACAATAAAAAATGAAGAACCTCGAAATGTAACCATTTATTACGTTTGCTGTGAATAAAACAGAATGTAAAATGTAAGCCAAATTATAAAATTAGATGACCTTAAATCTTTAATTTATTTTAATGAGATTTATCATCAATCAGTCTTTGAAAAAAAAACCTTCTTTTTTCCTTTACAAAATTCAGAAACTTAATTATTTGTTACGCATTTTGTGACACTATGTTAATGTTAGAAATAATTAATGAGTAAATTAAGTTAAGTTCGACCTAAGGATAGTTAATATTTAAAGTTGACAAGTGGCAAATTGTAGTGTGGAAGTATCAACTTGTCGGCTTTGTTTTGCTTGATTTAGTTTTTTTTCATACCGGGGACCGGCCTAAGCGGCAGAAAAGATCGCGAACTCAACACGCACCGGCTGGTAATTTTACAATTCCTGAACCAAGTGCTCGGATAATAATTCTATTTAAGCTGCTTGTCAATAATGTGAGGGATGTGCGATGTTGTAAAACACGTCGATATAGTTCATCACAGTGTTTCTAATTGTAACGATGAAACTAACGATGCATCGGCAATCGATAGCACATAGCACCAATCCCCGCAAAATCCCCAATCTAGTTGAAATTCGTTGAAATTTCCTGCAATTTGGGGATTTCCCCACAAATTGGCAATGCTGTTAGAAACTTCAAACGAAAGAAGTGACGTTAGCATCTAATAGTCTGTGGAAGTAATCAAATTCACTTGTGGTTCTTGGTTCTTGTATTAGTAGTTTGTGGTGGGGATCATAAATGTTCAAGACAAAAGGACAGAAGTTTTTTGTGGTTCTAGAGTACATTTTACTACATGCAGCATAATTACAGGAAAAAACGAATGGAAAAACAAGTGATCAAGAGTATCTTGTTACAGTCGTAACAAGTGATTTCTATTAAATAATACTACTTTTCCTCGACTCTTCGTATATTACAGACACTTGCAAGCGATTGGCTTGCTGTTGATCTTGTAATATGAGTGTGTATGTAATGAGCTTTTTGAAATTGTCAGGGAAACATTGTTCTTATTGAACTAAGACCACAAATTAGAAAAATATAGTGGATTTAGACTAAAGTTATATGATATGTAATGGTGTATACCTCTACAGCATTGAGTATAGTTATATTGGTAAGTTTAAGATTCCAAATGAAGAGTCCAGGGAAAGAATGATCAAAGTCACTTGAGGAGAATTTTAGGAAAAGAATAATTTAATTTAGAGAACTTTTAAATATTAGTGAAAAAGACACCCACAAATAAGGCGAGAAATAAAGTCGATGCTGACATAAATATATGTATTATAACGCTATGTAATCCATTTTAACTGAAATCATTTATATCCTTTTATCTTTACTACCATTTATTTGCAGGCATTTTTATGACTAAAAGTGAAAGTTAATTTTTAAAGAATTGGAACACTCAGCGTTTATTGCTTGATAGGCGGTACTAACTCAAAACATATTTTAAGTGACTTTGATCATTATTTCCTCGGATTCTTCAAATTTTTTGCATTATGTTAATAATGTGTTGTTCCCACATAGATTAGTGTGGTTGTCCCTCTATAACGAAAATGTTCTTCACTTTGTCCAGGTGTTTGTGGTGGTTAGCTGGGCACACGCCATATATTTGAGCTGGTGGCTGTCAATTCCACTTAAAGATGCCCCTGACGGCTGATGTTGCAGCACAACAGGTGCAGGTATGGAGTATCAATACAACTAAAATAAGGATTCACAAACATAAGTTGTTAAGCCCAAGTGGCAATGAACTAATTAGTATTTCTGTCCTATATTATTATAAGCATAGTGCAATGCGACAAGTACAGTAGTCCAACTTGTTACTGCAGCTTGTACCACACAAAGCATTTTTATGGTTAGTGTCCTTGTTTATGTGAATAGTTTGTGTTTTAATTTGTTTGTGAATTTCCTTTGTAATGATTTATCTGTTTTACATTTCATTGTCTTCTGTTTTGCTTCATTATTTTTGCATTTGTGGTAATCAAATTAATGTGCTTTTTTCTTTTACTATGCAAAGCAAAATTGATTCTCATTTTATTTTGTACAAATACATATACTACAGAAAGCACAGACAAAGTGAGAATTCTCAATCTTTCAATGTGTTATAAATTGACATATGAATGTAGCAATTTATGTGCTCCGTTTCAGTCTTTATGAGTGTTTTATTGCATTAGGTATGTAAAATAATACCACATAATACTGTAAATATACCATAGAAAGTGCTGCAATTCTGCAATGAATAGTTTGTGTGACCTGACAAGTTCCATGTGTGATTCTGGATATGTGTGCATCTGTAAACTGTATCCTTGGTAGCTTTCTTCTTGCTTGAGTTGAACTACTTGTCTCATCGTCACAGTTAAGAGCACATCAAGCTAGACACTTTGTACTTTGGACCGTCCTTATTGTAAGCAGCATAGAGTTGGATTTTTACTTTTAAATGTAAAGCTGGATGTGCTCATGACCCTGTACTATGAGCAACAGCATTGATTAATTCGACTTTTTTTAAAATAAAGAAAGTATAGAAGACAATTGCTTTTTTAAATTATTTATTTATTTTATCAATTTTACTGTATCTTGGATTTACATAGAGCTGTAAAAGAGGTGATTGAAATTAATTTTCAGGAACGCCTAAGGTCCCTGCATAGGTTGATATACGACATAGATTCAGAGAGAGGCCGTAATGAGCAGTGTATAGAGTCTATATTGAGAGCCGAGAAAGCTGCTGAGTCACCTCCAGCTAATGAGGATTCTTCCAGCTCTTCACAACAGGTATTAAATAAAAAGTAAAAGAATATTTACTGTATATCATAGGTAATGTAAAATGAGCAATGCAACTGCCTTTTCATAATTGTTTATTCAGGTTTACATTATATAACTGTTGTTATAATAAAATTTTATGATTGATGGCTTAGAATGTTGCTTTGGGCATAAAGTTAAATTGTATGATAGTAATAATATTAATTAATTTATGTTTATAAATTAATATTATCACTTATTCATATTCATTTATTTTCCATACAGCAAAGCCAATTGAAAAATCTATACAAAACTGGTCTAACTGCAGCTGAGCAAGAAGAGAGGTTGCTACGAGCCGCTCTGTCACGCATCTATGAGATACGTTCCATCAAGAATGAGAGAAGGATTCAGGTACCTTCTTATTGCTTTAAAAAACATATTGATGCACTCTGGGAACAAAGTGTAGGTTAACTTTGCTATTGTCAAAATATTGTAACCCCTATATTATCACCAATGTAAAAATGTGTTCCACATATATATAGATAGATTCATGTATATGTATAGCTAGAAGGAGCGACATAGACTTGGTTCTTGTATCCGGATTTCCGGATGAAAGAAACCGTCTCTTTATTCTATTTATGAAGATAAATAGCCGTACATGGGTGAGGCTGTCAAAAATGGCACTTTTTCGTCTTACGCGTTCAGCAGTTTCTTTATAAAAAGTATTCAAATAGTCTAGTGTGAAGATTGTCCTTTCAAAATACGACATTTCTGCTACTGGTTCGAATTTATGAACATCTGTTTTACTGTGATTTTGAATTTAAATATAATATTTTTAGAGCGCGATCACAACGATTCTCATGCGAGCCAAAATACCCTAAAATGGCCCTCGTAAATAAAATTGTAAATCAATCTTATTCTTAAGTTCTACTAGCAAATGTCGCCGATCCGTCAATGGAACCGTCAATAATAATAATAACAAGTTTATTTCCTTCACACACAACTCAAACAATAATTAGACATTCTCATGTAAAGAAAATGTTTGTTGTCTGTGAAGGCTGGAGCCTAAACTAGGATACCATGTGCTATAGGTCTCCAAGCCTCCACCTATGGATAAAGTATTTGTAAAACATTAAGGGTCGTATTCCAGAACTCTACTCAATGCTCAAGTCAGGATTTGAGCAGACTTGAGTATGATTTCAAGCACTGGAAATACTACCCTAATGGTAAGGACTTGAGTATGATTTTCAGTGCTCACTGCAATACTCAAGTCCTGACTTGAGTATTGAGTAGAGTTCTGGAATACGACCCTAACTGTGACAGGAATGATTGATATGAGGGATAAGTAAACAAAAAATAGTTTATGCATAGCAATATGTTAGAAAAAACAATAAAAAAAAAAATAATAACAATAAAATAAAATAAAAATACAAGAAAGAGCACAATAATGAGTGTGTATGTGTGTTTTTGGGTTTGTGTGTGTTTGTGTGTGTGTGTGTGTGTGTGTGTGTGTGTGTGTGTGCGTGGGCACGTGTGTGTGTGAGAAAGCAAGTATATATATGTATATAGTACATAAGGTACATTGGGAATTCACTATAATGGAACATGAAGTAAGTTTTCAGTGTCCTCATACGACATAATCTCAGTACTAAAAAAACCGACCTCATAAGTAGGTGGAATTATGTCTATTTGGTAAGTTTTATTGAAATATCCTTAAATTCGCCACTATACAGGACTTGACACTGGAGATAATAAAAATCGGTTCTCACTACTCAAAGAATATTGAGAGAAAAACGCCTTGAATTGGAGAAATAGCAAAATCAACCATTAAAATAATTGCTCCTTAAGGAAATTTAGGCGCTAGTTATAAAAATGAATCTTCATGCGTGAACAGCCACCCTTAGAGGTGGATGATTACTCTCAAAGCTATTGGAGAATTTTTTTCTAAATCGACTTAAACCAATATTGGAAGAGAACAACATAATTCCAGATCACCAGTTTGGGTTCAGGGAACAGCACGGCACTGTAGAGCAGGTTCATAGAGTCATACACAAAATTAGACATTCTTTTGAGAAAAGGGAGTACTGTTCGGCTGTGTTTCTAGATATACAGCAGGCCTTTGATAGGGTATGGTATGATGGTCTTCTACACAAACTAAAAGTTGCTCTTCCAAACTCATTTTATATGATTTTAAAATCGTATCTTCTAGAACGCAAATTTCAAGTAAAGTATGAAGAAGAATTTTCCCAATTACGTTAGATGCTGGCATGTGTTCCTCAAGGTTCGGTGCTGGGGCCAGTGCTGTACTCTATATTCACAGCAGACTTACCTCAGAGTGAGAGCGTGGAAACGGCAACATAAGCTGATGACACTGCTTGTCTGGCAAGCGACATATGTCCCTTTGCAGCATCACAGAAGCTTCAAGTGCATCTGACTAAAATAGATCAGTGGTTACAGAAATGGCGAATAAAATCCAGCACCTACAAATTTGTACACATAACTTTCACATTACGCAAAGGAGAATGCACATCCGTGAACAAGAGTGGTGAACCTCTTCCAAGATAAGACTGTGTCAAATATCTGGGCATGAATCTTGATAAGCGGTTAACCTGGGCACACCATATAAAAACTAAAAGAAGTGCTGCTCACATTCAGTACAAAACTGATAGGTCGACAATCTCCACTTTCACTACACAATAAGTTGATGGTGTACAAGTGCATCATCAAACCCATCTGGACTTATGGAATAGAGCTCTGGGGCTCAGCCAGCAATTCAAATCTCGAGATATTGCAGAGATTTCAGAACATAGTACTGAGAACTATATCTTGTGCACCATGGTTTACAAGGAATATTTGAATCTATGAATATTTGAATATACCAACCATCAAAGAAGAAGTAAAGAACTTCAGCAAAAAATATGAAGCCCGGCTCCTTATCCACAAGAATGAATTGACGAGAAACCAGTTGCATTCACGAAACCCAACGCGGTTGAAACGATGGCTCATCTTAAACTTAGATCAACGAATATGAACACCACTAAAAGCCATGACAGGGCTGATGCTCGCAGGAGCAATTCCCTCCATCGCCACTAAGAAAACACATCTGATTATGACATTGCAAGCCGATGGCAGATAGAAAAGGACAAAAAAGTTATCTACTGCATTTTTTACATGGCAACATTAGAATTACTTTAAAATCTTACTTTGACTTTCCTGGCCAGTAGTTTTGTCCTACGATGCAGTAAAACCATTTCCTCAAATCGAAACAGTAACTAATTAATATATGGTGGTTTTAACAACTCGAAGTTGTGCCTTATAGCTATATCTATACATGTATCTATATATTATTTATTATTATTATTGTATTTATTTTAAACTCTCGCCTCTCCCAAGGCCTAAAAGGTTTATTATTATTATTATTAGGGTGGCTTCATTTGGCGCCTATAAGGCCCCTCATAACTGCGACCATTAAATGACCTATTGTGATCACCACTAATTACAGCTCGGATCCAAGACCAACAGCATTAAGGAACTGAAGGACTTTCCTGGGTCCGATAGTTTTTATGTCCTCTAGATGTGGCCTGTGCCTACCCAGTATGGAACTTCTTACGCCCATTGCAGGGCAGCACTGGAGTTTCATCCGCCTCGTGGCAGAATCTACATTCTCTGTTTTCTCTCTGTCCAATATTTGAGATGTGCTTCTTCAAGCCACAATGCCCTGTTAGGGCTCTAGTCAGCATTCTGATGCCATTCCTGTCCAGTGACAGAGCTTCTCTGCAGTATTTGGCACTGAAGGCAGCTATCAGGGCTTTTGAATGCTCAAGACCCTTAGTCTGCAGCCACACGTCACGGGAGACGTTGTGCGCTCTCGTTCAGCAAAGTGAGCTTTGCCAGGCTGTGTGCTATCTCTATAAAGGGCTCAGGACCAATGAAAGCCTCCGTAGCACCAGCTTTTGCCATTTCATCCGCTGCTTCATTACTCTCAATATCAGAGTGACCATGAGCCCAATGCAGGACCATATTATTCCTTTCCCCGAGAGTATTCAGTATAATTACGCAGTTCTCTACAATTCTCGAAGTTTGGGTGACTGAGGTTAGTGCATGCAGAGCGGCTTGACTATCTGAGTTTATATATAAATATAATTGTTAACGTAGCCTCGTTTCAGGTTCAGATCCGCACAAGCAATTATGGCGTATATTTCGGCTTAAGATAGAGGAGTGTCGTCCCATGTTCAGCTTGTAGCTGAGTCTGGGTCTCACGCCATGTATACCACAGCCTACGTTGGGTCCCATCTTGGACCCATCGGTATGCCAAAGAAGGCTACCGTTCTTCCAGGTGAGACTGTTAGTTTCCCAGTCTTCCCCGGTTGGAAATTCTACCTGGTAGAGTTTCTTGAAGTTTTGCTTGGGAAGCATGACATCAGAAGTCATTCCCAGAACAGGATGTTCCAGAATTGAGTCCTGGGCCGATCTCAATGTCTGGGAGAGTCATCTAGTCCTTAACCTGGTGGAGAGCCTGCACATGCGGTTTTGATCGATTTAGGACACCCTTGTAGATACTGCTCTAGTCTGTCTCTATAGACGTCCCAAGCCGCGTCTCTGGGATTTCTAAATGTAGTGGGGTGGCAGACATCTGCTCCCAGATCAAATCTTATATGTTTATGCTCCGACATTGACGTCTCATCACTAACATGCCAGCCGGTTATAAGTCTGGCTAGTCTAGCCGTAGAGAAAGTAATGTCCAGAATTTCTTGTCTTGACCTAGTAACCAAAGTTGATGTACATCCTTCGTTATTAAGGTACAAGTAATTTGATAGGATAAAGTCATATACCTAACTCACCTCTCTTATTGATGTCCGAACTCCACCAAGCGGTGTGGTTCGGTGCTGAAAACCACGGTCGTGTATCCCGCAGACCGTCATTTAGTGCCATTACTGTGGCAGTTTTTGGCGGAGCTAAGCCGGTACTGGCACTTGTTGTTGGCTGCGCGGTTTGGACTCCACCCGGGACAGCGGGTGCTGTCCGAGTGTGTCCCGCCTTGTTTCTTCTGGGGCGATGCACCCAGAGTCGCAGACGGGGCAGCCCCGTTACGTTTTCCCTGGTCCTTGGAAGACGGGACAGGCGCGGGCAGCTGCTTTGAAGTTCCCGGCCCCGATACCTCGAGCGGACCTGTAACCGACCCTAGTTTCGAGACCGAGGCACCCTGCCCAGTGCCGCCGTTGAAAGTGCTTTCCGGACACCCCTAGATCTTAAACGTGACCTGTTTAAAACCAAGGTGTGCCCAGCAATTTGAGGCACGGAGATTCTTTACGACATTTTAGCTAAAGTCCAGGCATTTACTAGGAGTACCCAGGATGCACCAAGGTAGGCCATCCAGTCTGGAGGGAGAGTCCCCACATAACTCCTGAGATTCCCTGGACTCAGGGGTAGGGAGACTCAGGGATATCTATAAAGATCCCCCCCCCCCCCCTTAAAAAAAAGAATGCACCGGCTTATGTCTTCCCTTCCTATACAATCTTGGGATTGCATAGGAATGGAAGCCAGTCGCTCACGTGGAGGTATGTCGTCCTAGCACCTCATCTATATATTATGTGGAACACCTTTTCCCGACCTTTGATTATCAATTAATATTGTAGTTTCTTTGTACTTAAATTATTTCATCTAAATAATTTATTTAGTATTTTGCCCTGTTATTTATTCATCAGGCTGTAGATTTTTTAATTACTTCCTTATATGAATTTATTATCTTTGTCTTTAATAGGCTCGCCATGCAGGTAACAAAGAGACCATAGGCTGTGGGGCTCTAATGAAGATGTTACTAAGCGCGGCGCAAACATTGCCACTACATGTAGGTCGCGTGGGCGAGCGTGCGCCGCCGCTGTGCGGGGCTGTCCCCGCCGATTCGGGGCATATCGCTCGGCCGGGCGATGCTGTAGCTGCGTTAGTTAAGGTGTCCGAAAAAGAAGAAAACTGGATCTTGGCTGAAGTAAGTATTCAACTTGAAGATACAAATAAGGTTTCTAACCACTCTATTTTATAGTTAATTACATCTGAAAGACGAAAATGATAAAACTAAAGCCTAAAATTCAAAATTCACATCCTCGTCGACGTCACCTGCACAAAATTCAAATATTTGGCCTGCGGGAATAACAAAATATTGCCTCATATGTTAGGTTTACATAATGTTATTGTAATGCCTAGTTTTAATCTAACAATAGAGGCATACATACATTCAAAGATTTTACGTAAAACGTAAAGCCATTGCAAAAAGTTTTAATGTTCAATAAAGTTATTATTTTTCACCCTTGATACACTTGATATACTTCATCTTCATGTACATTTTTTTCTGAAATCTTTAAAAGTTTGTAAATAAAATATGATTATTAAAGAAGGATTTTCTTTTTTTCTGACTTCCTCGCAAGTGCGATGAAAAACATTGTATGTCAAACGGGCGGTATAGCAATTACAATTACAATAACAAACGTTTGGGCAGTTAAAGAATTTTAATGTACCTCTATTCGTAAATTGCCTATTTACCATCCTTGTAACACACTGTACTATTGTACAATCTATGGTATTGAGATTTGCATCCATTTTTAACAATTGCTTTTATGACAGTTTATATTTTAGTTTCAGTGAAATTAAAATATTGTATCAGCCACTGCGTTGTTATTAATAGGTGTACCTCGTGCTGGGACAAAACCTACTAACCTTGGGGTGGGCCTGCTAAGAGTAATTTTCTTCTTGTAGAGAGAGCACAAAGAGTTGTTCTAAAGGTTGCCTGCTTCAAACCCTACCGGTTTCCAACAAGTGAATTTTACGCTTACTGTTCGACTGCTATACGTTCTCTGGACTGTGTTGAAGCAACATTCCCACACACCCTATGACACTGCCTCTAATAGACGACATTGCTTAATGGCTTCTTGCGACCGTTTCAGGACTGCATTTCAGTCATGGATGCTTCTGCTTCCTGTGATGTTTTCTATATATTAGATTGCATCGCGAACTTAACATCTTTGAAATAAATTTTAATGTAAAAAGAAGTTGGCAACCTGGCGCATACCCACACATTCTTACACACACGCAGACACATTCACGCACGCACACGCACCCATACACTCATTTTAAATTTTACTTTCAGTTTAGAAGTACAATCTATAATTAAATTCATATATCTAAAGGTCAAGAGTGTATAAGTGTAAAAAGTATCTTTAATTTTATATTTTTTATATTTTGTTTCTCTCTTACAATGTTTAATATTTTCTTAGTAATGCCATTATGCCCAGGGTGAGGGCCTGGTGATTTGTAGTACAGGTATTAAACCTTTAACAAGCACCAGCACCTTCAAAAAGCTGTTACTGTTTCTAAATTACTGAGAACCTTCTGAACGTGTTTTTGTGGAGAAATAAACATTATTATTTATCTATTTATGGAAAACCAACTGTTTCGACCATTTAATAAAAACAGGAAAAGAAACATAAAGGCAATTACAGGTTTCAGACGAATCAAACACGACCATTAAATAAACGAACAATAAAAGTATTTGTTATCAACTTGAACTTACAATAAATATAACAACCCAATACCTGCGCCAACAGTCACAAATTATTTAATAAAATTAAATAGAATGTCCGTGAGTTTACGCTTTAGAGCCTTTGCACACGGCGTATTTTACAATAACCTACGCTATTTTATAAACGCCGCAAAACGCGCGTCATTTGCGCGTATAAGCGCCGCAGACGCGCTGTAGTGAATCAAAGTCAACAAAATCAAACGCGCCCAAACATCGTGTTGCAAGTAAGAAGCTTATATAGAATTTCATGTAGTTGCTTCATTTCAAAAATTAACTGAAATTAACAAATAAAACTAAAATTAAAACTATCTCTTATCAAAATGCGCTATACATACGCGCATTTACAGCGCGTCTACGGCCCGTATATGCGCAGATGACGCGCGTTTATAACGCGTATACGCGCGTCGTCAGCGCGTATAAAATACGTCGTGTGTCAATCAACATAACAATTGAATATATCTACATCCAGACCATGGTTGCTCAGCACACAATCCAAGCTCTTGTTAGCTCTACACAGAAAACTCTGTAATTACTCCTCGCTAAAGGAACTGCAATGGGGTGACACTGTCTCATAGACATGGGTAGTGAAATGAATATGAATTTAATAAATTTATTTTGGACTCGTTCAATTCTATCGATATAGACTTAATATCTCGAATTTCAGATTTGGCAAGCATATATTATATAACTTACTACAAACACATGCACAATATAATATTCGTAGTTCAAGTAGATCAAGATCAGTTTTGAACCATGGATGACACCCATAGCGATCTCCCTCATGACTGTTTTTCGTTCTAGCAGCATAACTAGTTGTTATGTAGCAGATGGTTTAATACATAAATTTTCACAGGTTGTATGTTGGCATCCAGCTCAAGGTAAATACGAGATCGACGACATAGATGAGGAACAGAAGAATCGACACATTTTAAGCAAAAGACGAGTAGTACCCCTGCCTCTGATGCGAGCAGACCCTCGTACTGATGAGCAAGCCTTGTTCCCAAAAGGTGCTGTTGTGATGGCACTTTATCCTCAAACAACGTGCTTTTATAGAGCGGTGGTGAATCGACTGCCTGCTAGTGCTGGAGATCCTTATGAAGTATTGTTTGAGGTGAGAATATAATAAGAAAATACGCATTAAGCGTCTAATCAAGTCCTATCACAAATTTACTTACTGGTGCGCTTTACTACGTACATTCGTTACGTACGAGTAAAAGGAGTTGAATTAGTTTTGCAACATTTTTGTTACATTAGAATACGTAATTATTGTAGCACAATTATTCTGACTGGTCTACGTAAGTATAGCAGCTCCAGTAGGGCTAGCACGAACAAGCGCGACTTGAGAGCGACATAAAGCGCGAGATGTCTATGCGACAACACCCTGTATCTCGCGCTTTATATCGCTTTCGCGCAAGTTGCGCCCCATCGTGCTAGCCCTACAATGAATGGTGTGGTATGTGCGTGAATTAAGAACCCTTATTGTATTGCAGGACTCATCGTACGCAGACGGTTATTCGCCGCCGGAGCGCGTGGCCCAGCGCTACGTGATCGCCATCAAGGAGGGTAAGGGCCGCGCCACCTGACCCCGCCCGCGCCCGCCGCCCCCGCACTCCTCCACCTCCACGCCCTCTGCTTCCTCATCGCCATTGTCTTCAAACGACTCATTGATGTAAACAGTGTTGTGCGTGTACTTTGTTGTGTTCCTTGACTTTGGGGAAATTATTGGCATTTGGGTTCGAGTGTGGGTTTAACTCGACAGGAATAAAAGGACTAAATGGTTTCTAAAATGGTGTAAAATATAAAGAACATGTAAGTTTTAATTATTAGACGACAAAAACACCCACATGTAATAGATAAAAGTGATCCTCAAATTGCATTAAAACGAGGAATGCAAAGTAAACTCTTCTACAAGGTAATATTTCTGTAAACAAAAATTTTAAAAGATATTGCAGCAAGCGGCGCCACACTAAAATGCAATATAATATGGAACAAATTCACTACTAATTAAAGACCATTCCGCTGCGGCCCGAACTGCTCACGTGCACAGTGCAGTTTTAGTCTTTTGTTATGCATTTGCATGCATTAAAACAGCACTGTGCACGTTTTTTTTATTTATGCTGTATTTAGTAGAGGATATGTTTTATACATAGATTATGTACTAAATAGTGCAAGTTTTACATAACAATAAAACTTGTATTATTGAGCAGAGATGATGCACAGCATCTGTGAGGGTGCGTCTATTTCCGGTCTAGCATCATCCTGTCTATGACCTACTCCAATGTGCTTCCCTCGCTGTAAATAGTAGCTTAACTGACTTACTTCCGATCGGCGCCATTTTCCTGTCACCTTAGGAGATACTTGCGCGAAGTGCCCTCATAGAAGTCTCTCACCAGGAGCCCTTAAATGGATGCTGTCATCGTCTCTGCTCAATTTATGTAATAATATAAGTTTTATTGTTATGTAAAACATGCACTATTGTCGGCGTGTGACGATGCACAGCATCTGTAAGAAACGTGTTTATAACTCCTGGAGACTGCCAACGACGCTATGTGATGCAAATAACTTGAAATAACAGAAAATACATATATTCCGAATAATAATATTTAACAGAATAGTTATCGTAATAATTGATCACAATATCGTAATTCCCTCGTATAACATAAATCATAATTGAATGTAACTTAATATAACATGACTATAATAAAAAAAATATTATACTTAATATTTATAAGGAACTTAGTAAGGAACTCGGATAGGTTCAAAATTAACTGCTAAATTATTTTGAGATTGTATTCTTCCAATAATCTGCTTGCAATAAAATCTGGCAAAAGTGTTTTCCTTTCGCCAGTTACCTCTATTAAGAATATCTTCAATAGGGAAATTCACATACCAGTTTAAAGAAGCCACCGCCAAGCGTACAGAACCCGCAGAAGCAAATATCCCTTCCCTCAAGACCGCTTTAATCCAGTTGCCAATAACGGTACGTGCGGCGGCCTGTGAGGGCCCTTAATTGTGACGAAAAGGGCGCTACTACACGCGGCCGTCCATCTCTGTGCACCAAGTTCTATGACCTTCTTTAACCAAAATACGGGACAGATATCAATATCATATTCGATAACTTACTTATATGGGGACCCCATTGCAATTTAGCATCTAACGTTATACCTAGAAATACAACTGTATCCACATGATTCAATTTTTCGTTTCTAACTACAATGTTTGTAACCGTCTCTGTAACATTGGGTAATGTAAATTTCACACAATTTGTTTTTTTCTCATTAAGAAGTAGGTTATTAACAGCAAACCAATCGACTACTTTAGATATAGCATTGTTCACATCGTCGTAGGAACATTGGTGCCTTTTAACTTTAAATAATAAGGAAGTATCATCAGCAAACAATACTATCTCATTGTTATAATTATTAATACAAAGATCGAACACTCAGAAAAAACACTCAGAAAAAATTCCTTCGATCCGGTCGGATTCTGTTTAAACAATATCCAGTCTGATTGTCTGTACGAAGCCGTGTCATCGTCCATGTCCAAATTATTATCTCTGCACCATTTAGCCCACCTGGCCCACGCAGTCTTATAAGTCCTTACCGTGGAATTCCTCCAGCTCGACTTGAGCAAGGTTCGCTCTGCTTCGGTCCAGGTTCCTGTGTGTCCTCCCACCCCCGATATTCCAGACATATAGTTCCATGTCCTGAACCCGAGGAGGTGGTAGGCCGTTCCTCTGGTCTATTAGGACGTTGGCCAAGTTCTGATCTTGAGCGGCTCGCCTATCGCCCGTCGTCGAAGATCGGGCAGCCAAAATGCATTGTTCCACGTTGGTGCCACTATCAGGTACACTTCTCCTGCTAACTTCAAGTGATGCGGCACCCACGGCAGCAGGCTCGGAAGTGGGAACACCCATGCCAGCTGAAACTGCCACTGTCGGCTGAAGGCGTTGCAAAACTGCGCTGAGCAATCCCGACAATCTTTCGTATCGTCCATCTCCACAACTTTGTTTGGTTGCAAACAGATCGATCTGAGGACCTCAGAACTTGTTAAAGGCTGGTTGCACTGCTGGTCTATCTGTCTGCTACATCGTTGTATTTGCCTAGGAGATACTCTGCTGTCATCGTTACTTTCCACCGGTCTAGAAGATGTATCAGTCGGTATGTCATGTTGAGAAGAGGCGTCGATCGTGTTCCGCCTTCTTTGCGGATGTATGCCACTACGGTACGATTGTCGGACTGTAAAATCACATGACGTCCCTGAAGTGGCTTACCGCTGCTATAATGGCGAACATCTCCTTGCGATTGCAATGTCATTGACTCTAGCTGGGGGTCCATCTGCCCGACACTGTCTGATCGTCCATCTGCGCCCCCCACCCGTAATCTGCGGCATCTGTTGTAAGGCAGTGTTGTATAAGTGTTGGATATAAACTGCTCGCTACCTGATGCTCGTCCAAGGTATATAGATATCCACCACTGTGAAGTCCCTTACTACTGGTGCTGGTATGTTGTGTTGACTGTTCGGAGAGTCCCTCCCCAGCAGTCGTGAATGCCGCTGCAGTTGACGACTGTGCTGTCTCCCTCTGGGGATAACAAAGTTGGCGAAGTTGAGAGTGCCTAGGACTACTGGTATTTCCCTGAGCGACATAGTTCCTTTGCGAATGGCTTTTTTCGAAATTGATTTTATTGTATTCGCTTTTCTCACTGAGAGGCCTTTTAGACTGCGGTGTGTCCCATATTAGCCCCAGAAACTCCAGCTTTTGACTGGGTTCGATCACAGACTTTTCGAAGTTGATGGTTCATCCTAGATTCATCACAGTCTCTATAGCCGTTTGGACTTGGGCCTGCAGGAGAGCGCGAGACTGGTTTTACAGCAAAAAGTCGTCTAAGTACACTATACTTTGCATACCCTTGTCTCGAAGGTACTGAGTAACAGTTGGTCAGAGCGGCGAAATATTTCGGGGCGCAAGATAGACCGAAGGGTAGACAAGTCATTTGGAGGACTTGTTCGTCGTAGACCAGCCGGAGGAACCGTCTTTGGGTCTCAGCTATGGGCACATGAAAGTATGCTGCTGATATGTCGAGGGTCACCATCCAATCGCCATTTTGCAGGAAGTGAGGTATCTGGAACTGAGAGATGAGCTTGAAGGGTTTTGCGACTATCGCCTGGTTCAGCCGTCGCTCTTCTTCGTCAGGAACATGGTTGAGAAGACACTGGTTCCCAGCCGCTGCCGGCCTGGCACCTCCAATACATGTCGTTCCAAAAGTTTGTGTAGTTGTTGAGAAGAACCCTGGTCGTTATACGCACGAGCACAGGACTGGAGGTAAATGGCAGACGCATACCCGTAATCATGTTCAGAAGGCCCTGCGGAGCCCGAAGCGTCTGCCACCGCCTCCGATACGCTCGAAGGCAGCCTCCGATACGCTCGAAGGCAGCTTCCGTAGAATTTGCGTTGGCATGGTAGATAGTCATTTTATCGAACTGTTTCTTGTTGGGGTGGCTGCTCTTCTTATAGGCTTTTGTCCCACTCTTCGGATCTGGCTGATTTGTGGGCCCGGCAAATTTTTTATTTGCAGTGCACCAAGTTCTATGACCTTCTTTAACCAAAATACGGGACGGATATTAATATCATTATGTTTAAACAATATCCAGCCTGATTGTCTGTACGAAGCCGTGTCCGTCTTCGAACCAAAAGCTGGGTTCAGGATGACGTGGTCGCCGGCATCGGTATAGAAGCTCGCGCTGGGTAATAAGCCCGTTACAAATTGCAGCCATTATTTTCTCTGAGTTTGCAGTGAAGTTCTTTCCCTTAAGAAACTGCCTAAGCTCATCGTTTACCTCCAGGTCTACAAAACCAGGCGAGGCACATGTATTTTTAAAGAATCTGTGTATCTAACGTCTTTCCAACACGGATCTCCGAATTTTTGCGGGCGGGATCTTAGGATCTTTCAGGAAAGTATTCACTAAGCAAAGATTCAATAGACGGGGTTCGACTCCACTAGCGTCCGTAAGCCACCTCAGGGTGATGCAATTGAAAACCGGAAGTTGTCAAGCCACTGGACCCCGGCACTGGTTCAGGCGCGGGTCCCACTGCGTTCGGCAGCGTTGTGATGCGCGTACCATCATATGATGCAGGAAATGCGATAGAATTAGCCGTGTTTTTAAGAAGATTCTCATTACTAATGGGCTGAGAGGGCAGCATAACATTTTGCAACAATACACTTGTTAGAAAAATAGGTGTTGCACGAACAAAAAATAACAACGCTATGAGGACACTTCGCGCCAGTATCTCCTAAGGTGACTGGAAAATGGCGCCGATCGAAAGTAAGTTATTATATTGCATCATGCATGCAGCGCGACGCCAATTTGAGGCGACTTTATTCATATAATCTCTATGCAATTAAATTGTAGTGTCGACTTCGATATTGCAAGCTATAATCTTATGTTTATAGGATCTCTGTTTGTAGCAAATTTACTCTACTTCTGACGTAAACTTTTAAAAGTTTAATCTTATATAGTAAGTTAATCTTAATAAGAGGAATGTGTGTGTGTGTGTGTGTGTGTGTGTGTGTGTGTGTGTGCGCGCGCGCGCGTGCGTATGTGTGTGTGTAACAGGAGAATAATATTGTAATTAGGAGTTTTTACTATAGTTTGGTAAAAATTGTATGTACTAAAGTAACGACACAATTTTTGGAGTGTTCAGGCCTGTTCAGATATAAGCGATATTTGCTACCGCTGTGGGTAGCGAAAAATACCGCGTGGTGTACCGTCAGGTATTTGTATGAAGTTCCACAGCTAGAGCCACACCGGAATACCGCACAGAAGTTTTTCTTGCTTTACGAAACAGGTTTTGCCGCACGACGCGGGAGCAGTGGCAAAATTATCCCTCCGCACTGTCCGCAAATCAGTGACGACGAACTAATTCATAACGGTGGCGAATAACGCCTATATCTGAACTGGCCTTTTTTAACGTTATTAAATGTGCATACATTGTATTAATACACATATGTATTAAATTAAAATAAAAGATTTCTATCATAGAATACAATTTTTTAATATCGTGAGAGTAAAATCTACATAGAATACATGATAAAAATGGTTATGTCCGAAATATACAATCAAATAATTTTGATTCGAAGTTAAAACAAAATTGATTTTATAACTTTTTGATTGCTTACAAACTAGGAATTAAAGGTAAAATTAATGGAAGAAAATATAAAGTCAACTGAACAGATTACTCAGTAACTAAATCATGAGGAACTAAGGAGGCATAGCTAGGTAGCATGTACCTTGAAGTTTAAAATAATTCCTTATTGGTTCACAATAAGGTTAGTTATTGGACCACAATTTCAGTCAATGCAGTAAAAGAAAAACCTCTTGGGTATGTACAATACAAGATTAATATTCTACTTTAGATGTTGAATTTACACGTAAAATAAATCATAAAATAATCTTTTCATATTCTTATAATGGTTACGCATACTTTACGCAAGTTTGCCCTCGACACGTTCGACAACGGCCTGTTGCCAAAAACGACAGCAATATTGTCGCTTTTTATAATTCGTACACTATAATATTAGAATTACTTCATTTTAAGAGTACATAATAGCCCTGTATACGGACGCAGTACCATGAACCGCACTAACGTATGTGAGAGTCCTAGAGTAGAAATTTGTAGACACAGCCATCCTAAAAACTACAATTACATAGCAGTGAGCAATGTTACAATTATGTATGGCATATGAATACTATTCACACTCGTTATAAATAAAGATATGAGATCAACTTCAGTGATAGCACAACTCTACAATAATAATATAACTCCTCAATTCTGATGGGAATGAAAAACTATCTATGGTCATTGAATTGAATATAAGACTGAAAAATCTTTCTTTTATACATTGTCAATAGATTCGTTTTAATGAAAAGAAGAAAATAAGTTTGATCATTTAACTTATACTTAACAAAGGCAGGTGATGTAAATATAGATGTAAAATATGTAGTTAACGCCTGCGCCACTTTGAACTGCTCCTTTTTATGCCATGAATGAATTTAGACTAACATCTTAGCACCAATTTTATGTTTGGAACTATTGTGACATTATTTTTCAGCCTTTATAAAATTGATTTTGTAATTTTTTTATACATTAAAAATGTTTCATTTGAAGTAAGACCGGTAAAAAGCTAAAAGCGAAAATTTTTGGTAAAACAAAATAAATATGACTAAATCCATTGATTTTCTGGTGGAAAAAGTGGAAGAGTTGAACTAATCTGGAAGAAAAAAATATATAGTTAAAAAAAAGAGTAGTGTGAGAAAGCATGTGGACAGCAAGTCTCGTATCTTACGGCACTCAAGTGTATCTCAACGTATACGTACAAACTAGATACGAACCAAAATCTTCCCTGGAATTCTCGCGCATGTTTGAGAATGCTCGCGCATTCCGCGGAAGATTTTGGATCGTATCTAGTTTGTACGTTACACAATTGATCATAAAGTTCATTATGCTATGTACAAAATCGTTACAAAAATTCGCTTCCATTCCGTTCCGCCGCAATATAAATTGAGCCTTGTTCCAACGTGACCATTGTCGAGTTTTTGAAATTTGACTAGTCTGGTAAAAAGTCGCCATTTAGTCGGTTCTAGCCGCAAAAAACTAGATTTAGTCGGTCCGCCGTTCAAAAGTTATACTACATTCTTTTAGTTTTGATAAATTATCGACAAAAGTTTTGTGCGTACGTGTTTTATACCATTGTTATAATAACGCACAAAACATGTATGTCACTAATTTATCAACATGTAATATGTGTTTAAACAATAAAACGTTTTGGAAAACTGATAAATCTAAATAAGTGTCAAAGTTGAAGTGAATTACATCATTTACGTTTCATACGTATTTTTAATACAATGGCAGGGAAAGGTAACGTAAATATTTTTTGTTTTTAGTTTCTCCAAATGTGCCTATTTTAAAGACAAGTGAATATCCGATATATCAAAGACAACTGGCAAAAGGACCTGGTTTCTTACAAGCTATAGTAGAATTTGTTCAGTACAATTTAGTGAAAATAAGTTCAACCATACAACAAAAAGTAAACATTTTATTACACATTTGGATAGATAAAATAAACCTTATTATTAAAGCAAAGTCCTGTATTTTTAACCATCGACCAAACCTCATCCCTATGAAAAACGAAATGTCAAGTGTCGACCATAGACAACTATATGGCGACACCCGCTATTAAAGAAATAAGCGTTGTTTACACTTGTAGTGCCTATTTATTTAGATTTCTGTGTTAGCGACACAGTCGGGTTGTTAGTTTAATGTATTCTGATGATATGGTTTAATGCGACTGACCTAGACGGCCTGCCGATCGGACATGAGGCCGTGCAGCTTGCGCGCGACGCCGGCGGCGGCGGGGTAGCGCGCGCGCTTCACCACCTCGGCCAGCCCATCTGTGCTGCTGCGTTTCGCACCGGCCTCCATCGACACCATCGTGTTGATTGCGTGCAGATCCTGCCAACATACGACAACTAGATCAACAACATTCACAGCCAAAAGTTATTTATTTATTTATTCAATGAACAAAGTTTCAACAGTTCTTTCTTAAACTTATTTGACAAAAGCTAAAAAATAATAACTAAAAAATCTTTCTTATACCCAAGTACTAAACTTTATATAGACTGGGAAGTGCTCACAGTAAGACAGCTGTATGTGCTCAAATTGATGCTTAGTAAACACTTCTCCGTTCCTCTACATGCTAATATAACACATCAGCGCACTAAGTATTGGGTATGTCCACCTGTCCCTCATAAAACTTCTCTTGCGTGTAGACAGTAGTACTATGTCAGCAGTTCGTCCTTATATAATAAAATGAACAAGATTTTAGATATGTAGGTACACCTTCCCATTAAGAGAACTTAAACTAACATTAAAAGACTGGTTGCAGAAACTCAGTTTCGAGGAAACAGAGGACTTAATTAACAAAACATGGTAAAAACATTGTAATGTATATGTTACACATACTTTTATACTTATTTATATGGACTGAATCCAAGATTTACATCGTAAGGCTCACCCAAGTACACAAACACGCAAACACACACACACAGTTTAAAAATTGTTTTTCTTATTTCCTTGTCATACTTTTGCTTGTACTCTTTTATCGTGTCGTTTTTACTAAATCTACTAACACGACTAAATCTGGAGAAAGACGTAGCGCCTGTCATGAAGTTTTATTTAAAATTAGTATGGATGCTACAGTTCAACCTTATCTTAATATGTTTCTTGTTTAACAATGCCATCTAATTTTGAGATAGCATGCAATTGTATTGACACAATAAAGAACATGTAAAGAAATGTACAATTTGCTTATGCTATCTCTGATGGTACTGTTATAACCCAAACTAATACGGCTATTTTGCAAAGGTTGATTATAACAGACGGGTTTTTTTACGAGAAACACAAATCGAGTTAGACTTTGGCACTCGTGAAGAGCAGTATGTAGCTCCGGGAATCGGGAAGTCAGTCTGTCAGTAATTTTCATCAATAAATCGGGTGTGGGGAAAATTAGTTTTTTTTTTAAATACTATTTCGAACGGCCGCCTAATAGTACGCAAAACAGCAAAGTCCATGGATTCCGAATCTTACTACTTTATTTTACTCACACTTAGGCTGAGATTTATAAAACTAACTCTGCCATCGACTAAGCAAAAACGATGAGCTAAGCAAGTTTTTCGTCTTTATAGAAAGAAAGTTTGCCCAAGTTTTTCAGTTTGCAAGGTTTACAGTTTAATTTAATTTCTTTTTATTAAATTTTTATTTGATTTAATTTCTTAGCAAGAAATTAAATTAAACTGAGTTTACTTCGCAATTTCTTGCTTAAACGTGCGCAAAGTTCGTTTTATAAATATGAAAAACTAGCTTAGCTCGTCATTTTTGTTTTGTCAATGTTAAAGTTCTTTTTTTTATGTCAGCTTTAAAAATATTTTTCTTTACTGCGCATTATCTAGTTAAGACGCTATTTTATGTGCAATTTATTTAGAAAATGCTATATTGTGAATGGGAACACAGATCTTAATTGGTTTAAATAATCATGTGGTAAAATTGGGATGGACGATTCGTCAACTTCAAAAAGTCTCAATTTTTTAAGCCATCTTCCTGATAAATTAGGTGCTTCTGAGACAAGCCGCTATTCTAGAAAGTCATCAAAATAATTTGTCGTACCTTGGCGGGGCTGCGGCTGAAGCGGTAAGTGAGGTGTGTGTGGTGCGGAGGTGGCTCGGTGAGCGGTTTCACGTAGAGCTGGTGACGATCTGATACACGCTGTCCCAGCGGCGAGTAAGCCGCATCGCCGCGTCCAGCCGGCAGGGGCGACAGGCAGCACTCCTGCCACCACACGTCACACGTTAACGCAACGGGAAGCTATCTTGTAATTCAGTAGATACCTCATTACAGTACAGTTTCTTTACATTTACACGTAGCAGTAACGCATGTCGCCGATGTAGTGTATTATAAGAATAATAGTCTACGGATATCGGTAGACTAATTTATCAGTTCTAAATTGAAGTCAATCATCTTACTATAAACGAAAGAAACAGACGCATTGAACTCGTTTTTACTTTCGCAAATCAGGACCCTTTACTTATACACGCGGCTTGTAGCACGTGGCATTATAAAGAATATTCCACTATTGGGAAACCATCTAATTAAATTTGAATTAGGGTATTGATTATGCGAAACAAGAGCAAAACAAGCAAATCGTACGTTAAAATGACGAAATATAAGTAATTTTTTTTTAAAATAACGCACACACTCAACATAGCCCCGCACTAGGGAAACCCTGTGTCGCGGGTGTTATGGACACACACATAGACAACCACAAATTACACCCAAACTCACGAGAGAAATAAATGTAGGCCATATAAATATTTCTCCCGGCCCGGGAATCGAACCTGGGACCTCTGCGTGGCAGTCATGAGCAAGTGTTATGTCGGTTACGTAAAAATTCATGATACCTATGTACTTTATACAAATAAACAATTTTATTTAGTAGAGACCTATGTTCAGCAGTGGACGTCTCCCGGCTGATATGATGATGATGATTGATTATTTTATATATTATATTGTATACGTAAGCAATGTCTGTGAATTTTTGCTTGTGTCAATTAGTAACCGTTAATGAATGTATTATTCAGTAGATGTTCAGTAGGAAATATTTGGTCATTTTAATCGACATTTATATAATACGGTTATATAAATTATGAGAAAATATGTCGAACGACATGTTGGCTGATACCATAATCAACAATAACATCTTGACTAATATGTTTGCCAATTAATGGTACCTCTAAATAATTTATTTTGTCATATTACTATTGTCACTACAAAATCATACTCACATCCTTATGCCTGCCTGTGAAACGAAGTGCGAAGTTCTGCATGCACTGTACATACACTCTATTGTAGAAGTTGATTAGATCTCCTCTTTCCGGTGAACCTGAAACAAATCGATGTTATTCACAATATAAGATTAGATTGTATGTACAGACAGCCACAAGAAAATTGAACGCTATGTACAAAACGTAAGGTATAATTTTCAACAAAGCGTTTCGAAACATTGTACTACAGTGTAGCCATATATTTTAATAATAATATGAAACTCACTCTCTCCATTGCTATTCTGCTTGATGAGAACTGATCTGTAGACGTGATTGTCAGCCAGCGGCCTCTGTCGGTAGCAGCGCATGATCTCTGCAAACGTTCGCTCCACTGGGTTGTTGGGGTTGTTTGATACCTAGAGTAACCAACTTTACTTAGTTTAGGTATCATCTAGGTTTACTTACACTACTAACCTTAAAAGTTATGTAAACATAATAATTTCACCGTTTGCGACAAGTCTGGCGCATATACGAAAATATAAGGTTATTTAATAAGATTCATCTATTCAGGTTAAATTTTTGTGATTGATGCTTGTGAATGATGCCGTATTGCGTAGTAAAACCTTGTAAAAATTACTCAACCAAAGTGAAAAAATAGGGTGGTATATCATATTTTCAGTAAGTACTACATTGTGTCATAGTTATCATTTAAAAGTGTTATTTTATGCACTAGTATGCAGGGTGATTGGTAACTCGATACATTCCTTTTAAGGGCTGAAAGTAGACCTAATTTGAAGCAAATTAAGTCAAGTTATACCCTGTCCGAATACCGAAATTAGTAGTTTCGAAAACATTGTAGATTTAATTTTTTTTTTTTAAATCCCGATTCTCAGCTTTGTTATTTTTTTGGAATGTTATTTCTGCCCGGTTCTGGTTTGTTTTCATTTTATCTAGTAGCTATTGAATTAAAATTATTGTTAAATAGCAATAGAGTACGAAATAACTGTTAAATTTGCCATAGTGGTTCAAAAATGATGAGAACTACCGAAAAAAAAACAACAATTTATTTATTAAAAGGAGTGCCTTGTAAAAAAATTATATGGAACGATGTGTACAAATTACTTAAATTACTTCTTTGTATTGTTACCTATTCAAAACAGTAAAAATGTTACTATAATATTAAAGCTTTGGTATGTCATTACATCAATGAGTGAACACAAACACTGCATAATAATACAAATAGTAACAACCTTGATAGCCTAACGGTTTGCACTGTGGGCACTGGATGAGAAGTTCCCGGGTTCGATACCGGTAGGATCAATTTACCAAATTAACTTTTCTAAATGGTTCTGGTCTTAGTATTCTATTGTAAAATAATCACCTGGTTTGAAACTAGGGAACTCTCTGTACATACTCCCCATTAGTATCAGAGCAACAGAATCCCAGAGCAAAACCAATTTACAAAAGTTCATATCCCAAATTGGTTCTACTGGGAATCGAACCTGGGACCAAGAACGATGGAATTTATTCCGGAGCATAACTCAGAACACCCAGGCCAAAACAACTTTGGACAAGTTCACATTTAGTTTTATAGTTGATTGAGATGATATTTTACGGTTTTTAAAAAAAATCTCGAATAACTCGAGAAATCGGGTACGAGATTTCTCGAAACTCAAGAAGAAAAGTCAGACCCCTAGCTAAATAACAAATGACAGCATAATAAATGATATTGTATAAAATCAACATTTACGTATAAAATTTATTTATAAATAATAAAGGCTACTCCATTATACCTGTGTTCAAGTAGTTTTCACTAGAAGCTACATATGGTGCATTTTGGCAAGTTTCCAGTAGAAGCTGAATATGGTGTTTTTTTGCGCCTTTCTATTGTTGCAAGCAAAATTAGGCAGTACTACAATGACATTACAATTTAAATTCAACGTTTTAGCTTTTTATATTCCTTTACATGTCACTACGTTTAAATAGGTTGACTTGGGATATTTTTTTCGTGGTTTTTGTATTACACCCGTCGTCCATTTATTTGCAACTCAATGTCAGCTGTAGTATAATCTTGTATTTCACATATGTTTCACATATGGTTGTGCGATATGTTTGTTTCTTCGACCACCACGGCGTGGATTCCACCAAACAAGATGACGTGACAAATTGGAGGCGTACCTATATGAGGTCTTGGCCTGTAGCGGCGTTAAATCGCGAAGAGTGCGTACACAAAGGGAAGGGAGGCTTTTGCCCTGCAGTGGGACAGTAACAGCTGAATAACGAAAATGAATATGAACAATTTGACAAATACTTTTTAACGATTTTCTTCCAACATTGGAAATCAAGGAAGAAAAATAAACAATGGAAAGGCTTTAAGCCTTTGTTACTATAAGAACCGGTGTCGCCAAAACTCACACTATCTATTAATGATTTTTTGATGCTTGATTGATGATTTTTCGTAGTTCCTAATTTAAAAAGATGTACCTAACTAATTCTGGGACTGTTAATATAGTTACTTTACCCAGTTGGCATATCGTTGAAAGTTTAATACCTACTATTACAAGGTACGAGCGAAATTTTGATTTTATATTGAAATTTAATTCAATGTGCTGCCATCCAGCCGCAATAGCTGAAAGACAATGAAAATTTATTAAAATTAAATAAAACAAGATTTAACGATTATATGAAACACCCTGGATAATACAACAGGTGTGATTATCATTTTTGCACTCCAAAGTAGCAAAATATGGCATTTTTCCGCTATTTTCGAGGATTTGCGCGAGATAATTGACACGACATTAACGCTCAAAGCGAAAATGGCGGACTGGCGTTGGCACACGTGTCACGCCCACTAAGCATTTCTACTGTATTTATTGTTCTGTGTTGGAAACGAACGGAAATTTAGAATCTACTTACAGGTATAGGCTTAAAAAACGCATTTCGCCACTAGTTCTAAATAAATAAGTACTTGTGCAAGAGTCCCGTCGAAGACTGTATTACATAATTTGAGTACAGGGTACTAAAAAACCGACCTCAAAAGTTTGTGGAATTACATATATTTGCCAAGTTTTATTGAAATCGGTTATAGGGAAGTGCGCGAAACCGGATTCATTCCCTAGTTTGCCCTTAGAAGTGGAATATTTTCTTAAAATTTTAATGGGATGAATACTGAAGTGCCCTCTTTCCTACAAAAAAGAATTATCAAAATCGGTTCACAAATGCATCAAAGCCGGAGTTACCGCGTAACATACATACAACAAAAAAAAACGAATTGAGAACCTCTTTCTTTTTTTAAAGTCGGTTAAAATAGGTCGGTTAAAACTGCTTACTTTGCAAATGACGTAGACTGCGCACATGAGGATCTGATCAAGATGTCTGTCCCGCATCAGCTGCGTCTGATGCATGATTGAATGCTCTAAACACGTCCAGATCTTGCGCTTCAGCTCTTCGTCGGTGAGGCGTAACCGCGTGCAAAGGTCGTTCATACGAACTACTGCTAGGCTGTAGAACTGTGAACAATGTGTATGTAGTTTTTTGTTTCTTCTAGAACACTGAAAAAAAAAGTGTGTGTGTGTGTGTGTGTGTGTGTGTGTGTGTGTGTGTGTGTGTGTGTGTGTGTGCGCGTGTGTGTGTGTGCGTGCGTGCGTGCGCGCGTGTCACAGAAGAGGACATTTCATAGTTACTGCTTGCCCTGTCAGGAGGCAAATGTTATTCTGCCTTTTACACTTAGTACAACATCTAGAGTCAAAGAGGTATCTCGTACGTTAATAATTACCTTTCTAAAGAACAAAATAAGTGAGTTGTTAGCCTTCTTAGGTGTGGAGCTGGGAGTGGTCTCCCCATTGGAGGCCTGAGAGGATTGTGAAGACTGCGGTGTCGGCTGGCTTTGGCCGTTTTGTGAGTTCGTTTCCGGTTTTGTTGCACTGTTCGGTTGAACTGTAATTCAAAATTAATTTAAGCGGACGAAATAGTACATTGTGAATTAAGGGAGAAGTCCGAAGTCGAAGGCATTCGGAATCGAGTTTTTAATTCCCGTACCGCCTGTGATACAAAGTTTTTCATCACACTCGCGTGTAAATAATATGATTGCATGATAAGTTGACTATAATGCCCCAATAAAAACCCTCGGGTCTTTTTTCTTCTCGTTACAGCCATGGTCGTGTAATGATGAAAGAAAAAATGACCGAGAGTTTTATTTGGGGCATAATAGTGAAGTTAGTCTGCATGCAATCATACTATTTACATTCAAGTGTGATGAAAAGGTATTTAAATACAATAGTAGCTACAAGTGGCCAAGTGCACAACTCGGTAGTAAATGTAAGTGATATATCAAAATGTAAGTTTTTTTTTTGTTACAGACCATTCATGACGTTATTTTCAAATAAGAAATCAAAAAATTAATGAAAAATCTATTTTAAAAAAATTTTCACGAATGCTGCTCGCAGTAAATTAGTATAATTGATTTTTATTGTATCTCATGACGTTTTACTACTACAATCTTCATTTATTTCTTGTGAAATTACTCCACTACTTTGTTATTAACACACAGTAGAAAAGATTCGAACATAGCACAGAAGAAAAGATTCGAACCTGCGTCTGCGTGCCAAACTCATTCATGTCATTCATATAATTATAACTAATTAAAATTAAGCCATAAGTCGAATTAACTAAATATTATTAAAATTAATCTGTACTAATTACAGACAAAATGAGTTATGTGGATTCTTTTACCTGGATCTTTTAAACATGGGTGTGATTTTGGTAAGGTGAGCATTGAGTGGGTTCTTCTGTCATTCATAGTGAGGTTTACAACTGCGGTTGTCTCTTTATACATTGGTCGCACTATAAGTTTCCGTAACTAGCCACTTACAAAAATAATATTTAAAAAGTAATTACAACATTTGAAAATTAACTCTTTGGCTGTAGAGTACAGTTTGTTTCATTTGACTGTCACTTGTTTTTACATTGTGGCGCCATTTTCACCATTTTCATCACCATGGATTTAACTCGCGAAAATTTTCTACGACTTTAAGTGTAATTTAACAGCTCAGCGGAGCCTCGCTCGGCTTCAAACTGCTTTTGGCAATGAAGTACCATGCAAGACGACTATTTATAGCTGGTTTGCAGAATTCAAACGTGGTCGTGTGAATCTCAGTGACGAATTTCGTGATGGTCGCCCGTCCACGACTGAGGCTTAAAAAACGGACCGTCACTTGGTGCAATGCCACGCTTACTAGATTCAACGAACGGGCGTCAAATTTGGCGTGGGACATAGTAACAGGTAACAGGAGTGCCTCTAAGCGGATGATTGCTTCTTAATAAATTTAATAAAACTGGACATGTGGCTACTGTTGCTTTGGAGAATCATTGTACCGTGAATAGTGAACTCGAACCCACTCGAACTGAAGGTTCAAGCTCAATATGTATTGACAATTTTGTGATTAATTTTGAAATGGAATATTGTGAAGCAAATGTTATGAAATGTAAGTTATCAGATGACAATGTAATTTTATTAAAATATTTTTTTAGCACTACTAAACCAAAAAAAAGTTAATTTAAAATCATGTAAAATTTTTAGGCGCAAAACAATTACATAATTAAATAAAGATTTACAGTTAAGATTGGAAATTGAAAATACTATTGATTCAAGTGTAAAAATGAGCATTTTAATGGAAGCGATTATGCATTACTATGATAGGGCGTTTTCTTTTACAAAAGTTCGTCAAACAAAAATGAACAAAAAAATGGCATACTGTTGGAATTGAAAAATCACAAGCAAAGTTAGAAGACATGGAAATGTTACAAGACATAGAACCAACAAACGAACGGAAAAAGGAAATTAAAAAATACAAAAAGATATTTAAAAAAGTGATGTTCACAGCTAAGAAGTTACAGAATTCAGAACGGATAAAAAAGGCAAATAATAAAGTTAAAGCTTTGTGAGCAATCATTAATGAGCAGACTAAGACAAGGGTAAAAACTAAATGAAGCATTAAATATGTGAAAAATAACGAAGGAACCATTTTTACTGAGGCTACAGAGATAGCTAATGAATTTAATAATTATTTTTTAACAATAGCTAAACTGATTTCGGCTCACGTAGATGTTGACATATCTAAATCTAAAAAATACTTAGAACACACAGAAAAACCAGTATCTACCTTGACATTCACGGACATTGAAAATAAAGAACTCATTAAAGTGATAAAAGAAATAAAAGGAAAACCAACTAAAGATGTTCATGGCATGGATACTGAAACGCTGAAACGTTTGATCCTGGAAGACAGTTACTTACAGCAACTCTTGCTTCATGTAATGAATTCTTGTTTAAGCCAAGGAGTGTTTCCAGAAGTACTAAAAAAGGACGCGTAATTCCACTTTTTAAAAAAGGATCTAAAGATGACATGAACAATTACAGGCCAATTTATGTTCTTCCATGTATATCAAAAATTTTGGAATGTGTAATAAAAAATAGACTTGCTAGCTATTTTGAGACTGAAAATATTTATAGTACAGTGCAATATGGATTAGGAAGGGTAGGTCAACTACAGATGCAATATCCAATATGGTTGGTTAACTTTGCTTTAGAGGCTTTGGATGGTTTGCAGAAATGCACGAGCATATTTTGCGATCTTTCAAAGGCCTTTGATTGTATAAATCATAATATCCTTATGTGTAAGTTTGAGTATTATGGTCTGGATCCTGTTGCATTAAAACTATTAAATAGCTTTTTGAAGGATAGGAATCAATTGGTACAAATTGAAGAATCTGTTTCTGTACTGGGAAAGTCTGACGTCGGGGTACCACAGGGATCTGTATTGGGTCCTATATTATTCTTAGTATATATAAATGACTTGCAAAACAGCTTGCCTAAGTGGAGCTTTGTAAATTTATTTGCTGATGACACCCATGTCGGGATAAAAGATAAGGAAGAGGAAGTTATGGCACAAAAAGTTGATGAAGTAGTTAGCCTACTAGATAAATGATCTACTGCTAACGGTATATTACTCAATAAAGAAAAAACAACTGTTATGAAATATTACTCGGGAAAACAACGTACGCTAGAATTTAAATCAAATACCAAATTTTTAGGCTATGCTATTGATAATACTTTGAGTCATCAAACTCATATCAATAATATGTGTAATAAAATAGCAGGTGGAAATTATGCACTTCTTAAATTAAAGCCATTAATCGATAAAAATACATTGTTGACTGTGTATTATGCGTATGTACGCATAATACACAGTCAACAATGTATTTTATTATCGAATTTATTATCGTAATTTATTATCGAATGAATGTTCATTCGACAATAAATTACGCTATGACAATTTGGGGCAACGGCGCCGATGTAAAACGCGTTCTGGTGCTACAGAAAAGATCGATAAGAATAATCAGTGGTATCCAAAGACAGATTATACGCAAAAATCTTTTTTGTTAAATTGGGGGTCATGACAGTAATATCATGAATTAAATTTTTATTGAATTGATATTCAATTATTTGTCGATCGAAGGAATTTTTTTCTGAGTGTTCGATCTTTGTATTAATAATTATAACAAACTAGTGGAGTAATTTCACAAAAAATAATTGACTATCAATTCAATAAAAATTTAATTAATACAGTGAATAGCGACATCTCTCGCCAGGACTGGTAGCTGTAAAGGTACTAACTGGGTGATAAATCTGCAATAGATTTCTCATAGATGGCGCTACGACTAAAAAGTCGTTGAAAGACCAAGTACAAAGACACGACGCAAGCACATAGAAGAATTCGTGAGGTCCGTTGGTTCGTTCCGTGGATTAGTTGTTATAGCGTCTGGCACGGTATGCAAGAAGACGTCGGTTCGAATCCGACCGGATCGAAGGATTTTTTTCTGAGTGTTCGATCTTTGTATTAATAATAGTAATATCATTGTTTATTTTTAATTCCTTGAAGGAAGTACATAAAAAGAATAACTTGAAAAGAACCAGAGACATACGCTCTTACAATACTAGAAACAAAAACAAACTGATAGTACCAAAAACGAGATTGAAAAGAACTGCTAAGCGAGGTTACTGACTAAAGATAAAATTGTACAATGAACTACCACCGACTATATCCGAATTGCCCGAATTAGAATTCAAAACAAAGAAAAAAAAATTTTTAATTGAAAATCCATTCTATAAAGTTGACGAATATTTTGACCTTATGCATCCAAAAAAATGCTCATTATTTTATAATATTTAATGTATCTATTAATGATTTATTACTTATGCGATTTATTTCATAAATATATTATTATTAAATAATATTTAAATTTATGTGTATATTGTGCAAATCTTTGAATTTAGTTCTAGTAGTATGTTGAGTGTGTGTTAGTTATAGGTAATATTAAATGTTAGTAGTAAATGACTTTGATAAGAATTTTGTACTATTGACGTGCTAAATGTTACACGACCTTTGTGATGTGGCAAATAAAGAATTTGAATTTGTGATTGGTATACGAGCATTTGTTTGCAGGAAGTTATTGATTAACTCCGTAAAAATAACCGTAAACGCCGTATCCTCTTGCACCACGATAATTGAATTTTTGAAGGTGAACAACGTTGACCTTATGAGCCATCCCGCGTACAGTCCCGATCTGGCACCTTGTGAGTTTTATTTATTTCCAGAAATTAAAAACCAGTTACGCGGTGAACGATTTTCATCACTTGAAGAGGCTGTCGAAGAGTATGAAAAATATGTTTCAGAGATTGTCACGTCGGAGTGGCATAAATATTTTCAAAATTGGTTCATTCGTATGAAAAAGTGCATTAACGCTAACGGAGAATATTTTGAGAAACAATAAACTCATTTCTCACCATTTATAGTATTTTTTTCTCATTCATTCCGGAAACTTATAGTGCGCCCCATGTATAAGAGATTAGTTAAGTTGTGCACTAAGGTTCCTTATTATATTTCTGTTCCTGAGGTAACCTGCAATTGGCTTTCAGTTGTTATTGTTATTTTCTATTAGATAAATGAAATAAAAAATATCGAAAATCTCTCACTAGATGTCTCTAGCGGCGACGAATGACTAAAGTCAGAGGAGAATTTCGACGACTCGGAAACTGGACCCGTGGCTCAGATGGTTAGAGCAAAGCTACGGTGCAGCATAGTCGTCGGCTCAAGTCCCACCGGGTCGACGAAATATTTCTGTGTGTTTCGATCTTTGTAATCATAACAAAACTAATGGAGTTATTTCACAAAAAATCTCAATAAAAATAAAAAATAATTAATGAAATGAAACTTAAGTTCAAATTCAAATTATAATTCATTGAATTTTGCAATTTCTTGAATAAAGGTACTGTCGACTTTGTACCAGGTCAAGATCACGTCAAGTTTAATACTTGAGATTTAAATTCAACTCTATGCCGCTTGTGACAAGAACTGGCTAATCTAAAGTGTCAATATTAATGAGTTCTTGAATGCACCTGTATAAAGGATAGCCCATAAAGCTGTGTAAAACGGTACAGTCACCTACGTAAAAACTCGTCAAAGGCATTGCAGTAGATAGGTTAGATTCAAGAAACACTTTGTTCTAGTAAATTTTAAAAAGTTTGACTTACCTAATAATGACTGTCCTGGCTTGATGTTATCTTTGAACAACTGTTTCTTGGCTTGGTCTGCCATCGGCGTCAGGAACCGGTCTATCGCTGCCGATCCCGGCGATTGCAGACCACCTAGGATATGACAACGATTTATGCACTTTCTATGTTTTATATTACATATTCATGTGATATAATATATCTGCAAGTTAAACACCTAAGACATCTCTTACAATAGTACATTGTTGTTCTAAGCACGAGTCTATGAGAAGCATGAAGCCAAAGGCTGAGGACTTTAATAACTCGAGTTTTGTATTTTTTTACTGTCTGTGATACATGCAATGTTCTTCATCACATTTGCGAGGAAATAAATACAATATAAATATGGTTCACAACACAACAATTATGGATTTGGCAAATGGCGGTAATTTTTTTAAATTCTTCCATAGATAATACAACTCAATCTAAAATGTTGTAAAAAGCAAACAAGCCATGATAGATTGGAACAAAAAAAATTGTAAAATTTTTATACAGATAATTTTTTTTTTAATAGAATAAGAATTTAAGTAGTATGTGGCTGAATTGCACATTTTAAGCGAATGTTTGGTTTAACCGTGGGTTTTATTGGGGCATTATAGCCACCATGCAATCATACCAATTACGAGCAAGTATGATGAAAAATACTTAAGGCATCCAGATCCGAGGGGTCTCGATTGCAAATTTACTACGACCGTTGATTACGGCAACTTCACAGTTTTGTGGAGAATTGATAAAAGTGGAACTTCAGACAAATGTTACTAACTATTATTTCGACGCGCCAGTGGCGACTCTGAGATGTAAACTTCGGTAGAAGCCGGCACAGGTGATTTGCTCAACTGCTCCCAGAGAGGGCTCTCTGACGTCCATACAAGGGATTCTAGTACTTCTTCTTCAACCTACGAAATACATAAATTGTACTAAAAACATCGTGAAAATGGCGTCAAAAACGCAGTATTATAGTTGGTATTTCTTATTTTATTTCAAACTAATTATACAGGGTGGAAATCTGACACAAGTTCGCAAGGACAGCTACCGTAACGGTAAAGTGTTTTGCGACTGCCGACATTTTTAGTACTCTTATCTCAGTTGGTCCCATAGAGACCCTTGTCCTTATCAGAAACAGGATCAAATGGCATGAAAAAATTTTTTGTCATAAACTGCCTGTCTTATCTTACTACCATTTTTTCAAAATCAGTGAATGCCAATCGATGTATCTTCATAACTCAAGCACTGTCTTCTAGGATCACTTTCCTGTAGCTATGACGTTAACGTAGTAGCCCTTGTTGGTCAGTCTCAAATTTCCACCCTGTATTAACAGATTTTCAACAATCTAGGCAACAAAAAGGGCTAAGTGTGTGGTTTGCCTTAACTAGATTGACACTGACACTTACCGCATTAAGATGCTTGATGACGTCACGACTGAGTTTATCAAAAACAGCCTGTACAACTAGCTCGATGATCTTATAAAAATGGAAAGCGCTCAAGCCGAAGATTTGAAGAACGCGAGGGAAACGCAGCGAATGGACGCCGTACGCGTGTAGGACCACCTCCGTACAGCACGCGTATACTGTTAGTTGGTACGTCTCTTGAGATAGAAGCATCTGAAATTAAATTTTGTGATGACGAATTATAAAAAATAAACAGTTGTGGAACTAAAATAGAGCCCAGTGGAACCCATGAAGAAAACGAGAGCATTTGTAAATGCACTATCCAGTAAAACTTGTTTGAAAGTATAAAGTTTTTGTTTATTCAGACATCACTTCTATTTTGCACTGTTTATAATTACTTCACATCGCCTATGGCAAGCACAAATCCCAAATATAGTAACTTACCTGTAGAGACACCTGTGGCTTCTTCCTATGTTCCTCCCGAATGATATGTTCGAAGACCTTATAATAAAGGCAGCTGACCATGTTAGAGCGGAATTTAATTGTCTCGGTACTGCAGTTGGACTCCCGCAGGCTGTTTGAGAACTGCTCCATCCAACTGTTGCATGGCTGAATCACTTTTGCGTGTGTAGTTTCTTCGCTTACGCCACATTCTCTGTGAATTTAGTGTAATTTCAAGAAAAGTTCATAGCTGCAAAAATGGAGAAACACTATATATAATACTATATGTGTGATCCCGAATCATGTCCATCAAAACGGTAACATAGATGTGCGCCGAATAATTACGTATACTCTTTGAATATGTAAGTCTTCAACGCCATTTAACTCAGGTCGAAGCAAACTAGATTCCTATGTTCAAGGATATTCGGATAGTTTATAAACTTACGCGAAAAACCTCATAAATTGCGACGAAAGCTGTGGTTTCGAATTTCTCAGGTATGCGGCGAGGCGTGCCAAGCTGTTGGTGGCCTCTGATACGGGCGTGAGCTCCTCCGTGCGCCGGGTCAGGTAGCGCCGGCCGGTCAGCGGCGTATCCGGACAGGCGCGGCTATTCTGGATAATACATTGGTTTCTTTGCAGTCATTTGCCAGTCACCAGTGACATTTATTTAATGGGCCATTCCATATAAAAGCCTTACCCTTTACGGATTCTCGTGACTTTTCTTATTCATTAAATATTATCTATTGAAGGTATACTATTTCTACCTATAGTACCAATTTATGTCGCTGTTTAGTCGCAACACATGTGACGTGCAGCATAAGTCCACAATAAAGACTTGTGAAATTACAGTTGTATCAAATCCCAGCTCTATCATCCCATACACAACACGCATTTATTATGGATGTTTTAGTGAAACCTCTTAAATGTAACTAATTACACAGTATTATGTGACGTTTAAAATTCAGTGAGACATCGGTACCACGAGTTCAAATTTCTATCACGGTACCACGTGTAAGGTAACAAATAGTGATTGCTCACCACAATGGAAACAATCAACCAACCTATAACGGTCGTGCGTCACATCTCCTCCCGGTTGCTTTATGAATTCCTGTAGTTAACGGCATCGTAGCATGTTAGGATCGTTTAATTTTACAAGAAAAGATAGAGAAAGAAGAAAGGAAATGTGAATAGTGGATACTCACTGGTCCAAATGTGGCAATGACCTGTGATATTTCATCGCCAGAGTCTTTCTTCGTACCAATCCGTTCGTTTGCATGCTCTCCTGAAAATATTCAAAAATAATTACTTCAATGTTAAGAAAAACAGAAGATTAGCTGGAATACAGTTTACCTTCTTCATAATCAGCAAAGCAAGCTAAATTCCAAAAGAAAAATTTCGACATGATGCATGTTTAACCATAAAGGGAGAATAAAACCCTCTACGCGCTTAACACACTCATAGAGGTTAACATAATTGAGACTTTAATTTGTCAAAGTCAACTTTTTAAATTTGGAATTGTAAAAAAAGCATTGTTGTTCACAATGAAAGTAAGAACTTTTTGGTATAAGAGCAATAAAGATAATATACAATCTCCTTACCCAAAAATATTCTTTCGTCGAACTCTCCTACACTGAGCACGTACGTTTCGTATGAGTTGTTTAGTGATTTTAGGTTCACGTCGAAATTTCCGACATCTAATACGCCTGTTAGTTGATCGCTGTTACCTTTTAATAGCTAAAATACATTTATGAAAAATAATATTCCCTAATGGTTTTTTCTTCAGTATTCTATGTACAGGCTATGCAATATTGAATACAACATACCCCTTTTTCAAAGAAGGTCTTAATAACAGGTCTCCAACTGTACTCTTTCATGGTGCCAGCTTCTAAAGACATTCCGTCCATGATTTCGCATAGTGTTGATATAATACAGGGAGGCTTCTTTGGCAATTCAAAATCCTCCTTTAACCAATCTTTTGGCAAACCTAAAAAGCAAGAATGTGAAAAGTTAAGTCCTGGCAGAAGAAAAGAATTGGAATAAGAGATAATGGAGGAGGACGACTTTAATTGCTATTTTACATAGCTTTCATACAAAGAGAAATTAAAAAGTTTTACAATATAACATTTATTTAACCATAATATGCACCCATTGTCACAGGTCAATCAATGTTGGGTAACAGTCCACTGCCTAATTTCCACATGGCAATTTTTATTATTTAAGTACATTATTGTAAAATATAATTTAATATTCGAGTTTTAAAATATATTTAAGTATAAGTTACTTGAATACTTAAATAATAAAAAATGTTAGTATGACCACCAATTGAGCTAGCGTGAATCATTACTTGGCTGAACCATCAAACAGTTGCCAAAAATTTTCTGTAAGTTTCTTTTATGGACAGTATTTGGGCTTGTCAGCAGGGACCAACCTGTTTTCATCATAACCATTACTTACATGGTTCTAACTAATACTCTCTCATTTCTGTGTCTTATTAAAACAGTGTAAGCTTCAACATATAGTGCCCATTGCAATTCAGACAATCATGTATTCGTTTTTCTTGATTGCCATCATATCAATCTGGTACAAAATATGTATGGGTACTTCAAACCATGCTACTTCCTTCATAGTTTGCGATGGATTGGCTTCAAAAAAATAAATAGGTTTGCGTTTGCTCTCTACAACCAGTTTTGGCCATTGACTTACAATTATAAGTCAATGGTTTTGGCAGCCTATTTTGCGTATATTGAATCTGTACTCAGATACGGTATCAAAATATGGGGCAACGGCACAGACTTTGGGAAGGCTTTTACTGCTCAAAAGCGATGTATACGGGCCATCTGCAACGTAGCGCCGTGTGTCTCATGTCGTCCGCACTTCAAAATGTTAAGAGTATTGTCCATCCCGTGCCTGTACATACTCGAAGTTGGTATATTTGTAAGACGAATACATACACCTTACTTATAGAACAATTTTTTAATAAAAACTTGCAAAAAAAGTCAGTCACAAAATGGAAACTCGAAGTGTAAGCAATCAATTACTAATAATACCTCGTTATAATAATATATACGGTAAAAATCGACTGAGTTATCAGATACCTAAAATAATTAATTCACTACCACCAGAAATAAAAATTAACCTTACAACTAACAGCATAAAAACAAATCTTAAATCATATTTATTAAATAAACTCTGAACGTCCTGTATACGTGAGTGACTGTTTTTATTGTAACACCACTCCGAGGGTATTTATCTGTTTCGCTATAACTTATTATGTTCGTTCACAGGTCTTTTACTCGAGTAGTGGTTGTTTTTATGGTAGTGGGTAAGCGTACGTAGGCAAATGCGTTAGCCAATTTTGTTACGAGCTCACGTCAATGAATCGCGGTGTACGGATAAACCTATTCAGGTTTTTGTTGTACCGCTAAGTTTTAATTTATAAGTTTTCTTTTTGTATAAAATCTTTTTAATAAAAAAAATAAATAATAGCGAAATTCATAATAGCGAACGACGTAACTGCCAGAAGCCTAAGGTACACCAATAAAGTGATACTTGGTACAATACCCAAAACAAAACGTTTCCAAAATAATTCGTATGTTATGTGTGGAAAAATTTTAATCATATATCAGATTGCTTTAAGCGTCTTCCATTGACTAGTTTTAAAAAGGAATTGCGTAGGTGGCTATTTGATCATTTGTTCTACTCAGTTGATGAATTCATGAAATATAAGGACTAACTGATGCATACATTTTTCTTTACAATTTTTATTATTTATTTTAAATTATGACATACACGATTATGACATCTTGCATTAAATCAATGAACTTTATCAATTTATTGTCTAATTATTATTTTTACATTTAGTCTTAATCTATCAGTGTATTATTTGATTATATTGTATTTGCATGCTTTTATTTAACAAGGCCAAATAGGTTTATGCGCTGATTTAATTTTTACCATCAACATGTATAATGTACCATACCCTACTTCAAGCGAATAAATGAATTATTATTATTATCAACAATATCTCGTTACTCATCATTATTTAACTTAGGGTTTATTTATCGCTATTCTTGTCCGATCTATATGTGTAATTACTTTTTGTAGTCATTTGTGTTCCACTTGTATTAACCAGAAATTGTATTTAAAAATAATTCGAAGTATCCATTGTTCATTTCAAAGAGACCACAATATCCAAAAAGACAGTAATTGGTTTCACAGTCGCCACGACTATGCAATGGTTTATTCACAAATTTAACCCTTGCCACTTTTACAAATTGTAAAATTTTATAATTATCAATACTTCATGGTAGTTGATGCCATGAGATTGCATATAAATTAGTGTACAAAAGTATAGGATACCATTCTCACCTTTAAATTCAGGATCAATCAAGTCGATTCTTCTCGCCATGTAAGCATTTCCAAATACAAAGTCCAAACAGGACAAGAGCACATGGTACATATCAACCAAGTCATCAGCTGAATTGTGGAACTCCCCCTTTACACAGACATAGAGGCACCATGCAAATTCAAACAGAGCATTTGTTGTACAGGGTTGTAGTCTGCAAAAAAAAAATTGCATTTACTCCCTGGGTCCTATGAAGCAAGTAGAGGGTGCTGTGTAGCTTCGATAGTCACTGACAGGTTTTATAAATTTTAGCACTTAATGTGAAAAAAAATGTATAGTTTTTAAAATACCCAAGCAATAAATTAATAAGTAATTTACTTGTGAGTTATATAATTAAAAAAGCAGTAATTAATTGTTGTGGCAAGTAAAATATAGAAAATGTTACAGGAACTTTCGGGGATTTGAGCAGTAAAAAGCAATCCTTTGGCATTATTGACTTAGTTTTTGCTTCTGTTACTGCATGTGGGTTTATTTCTAAAGTCAACATTTAAGTGTAGAATATTTAACCTACAAAGTATTCTAATACTGCAAAAGTTTATAAGCCAGTCACATTAAAAGCATGTTAATAATTCAATATAGTTTCATTCAAAAGAAATTAGCTAAAGTATTTAATCATAGATTATGCTATAAGTAATCCCCTAAGTAACTCTTTATATTTCTACCTATGTCAAACAGCCTGAGATTAGCTTAATTGTTTTAATTATTAATACGAAGAAGTTTTAATGGTGTTTTGCGTAAAATATAGGTTCTCAAACTTTTTGGCTCACCGCCCACATAGGCAAGATAAAAAAAAATTCAATGCCCAGCACCACAAAAAATAATTGGAAACACATATTTTTTTATATTAAATTAACATAAAAAAATCACAATAAAAAAAATTAATATATATGTAGTGTAGTTCATAGCTAATTCAGGTTTATTAGTTCAAATGCCGTAACACTCCCTGGACATCAACGTCCCCCAATTGCTTGTGAGGTCCCTACCACCGCCCTGTGACTCTTAAAAAGCCCGCGGGGGGACAGTAGGGACCACTTTGGGAAACTATGATGTAAAACATTGTTTCTAGTTCTAATGTCTTGCATTATCAGTAAATGCTTGATTGTACATGCATGCCATGAATTATTTAAATGGTTTAATTATTTACAAGGTTTCATTGATACACAATGTAACAAAAAAGAGAGATGATATTTTAGATGTAGATTTAGTAACCATAATAAACAATTTTAGTAAAAACAATAATTATAAAGGGTGAAAAGAAAATTTTGGTTCCCTATACAAAATAAATGTAATCGATGGAATCTAAGTATCATGGGGAAAGAAATTACAGAAACTCACTTATGTTTTTTGCTCTTAGTAATCTGCTTAACAGGTTCATTGGTGAGGCCTCTGAAAATCTCTTGAAAAATTGGTTTAAACTTCCTGAATAGCACTGTGGAGACTGCAAACTTGCGTTCGAGACGGGATATCCTATCTTTAAAGTCTGTAGACATTGCTGCCATCTCCATCCAATTCTTAATTTTATTGAAGAATTGAATAAGGCTGAAATAATAAAAGATACATAAAGTATACATTGCTATGTTCACATTGAGCCTGTTTTATTCAGTTATTGCTTGCTTTTATAATTCATTGCATTAGATTTGAATGTTGCATATGCTACAAAGGATGATGATGAGGGATACCGATTGCCAGTGAACTACATAATATTCAATACATTCTTGTTGATACATTCCTTGTGATAGCTATCTATATTGTTATTTTGAATTTAATTTCATAGAATTCACTGGTTTATGCCTATAAATCATTAGGTGCCAAAGACAATGTTAATCCATCCAGAATACTAACCTAATGTTACAAAGCCTAAGTAGCCTAGTTAGACTGACACAATTTCCCTCCAAAACCTTGCCAGTCGACACTGTCGGCGTCACTGATGACCGGCATGCCACATAGAGGGCACACGCCATCCAATGTTGCTGGTCGCCCTGGAAGAACATCCTATATTAAACTTTTATGCCACAATTTTCATGTAAACAACTACTTTTAAAGCTATCAGCTGTCGATGGGTATATATAGAATTCTGTATCAATATCGTCGCCTGACGTCACCAGATGTTCATATGTAAAGCGTTTTCATATCATCGACATAGAATGGTTAAAATGTATTAATATTTTACATTGTACAGTAACACACGGAAAGGCATGAATTTTTTAGCATGTAGTAGGTTTAAAGAAATCTGTTAAACTTACATCAAGTGTGTAATTTCGTTTTATTTCGAAAAATGAGACGCTTGCTCTTTTCGCAGCGAAGGGGTCAACGTTTAACTTCGAGCACAGGTTATCTAATAACCATATCAAATATTCTTCGTTGTCCTCGGGGTTCGCCATCTTCGCAAATGATTACACTGCACTTAATTGATTAATTTAAAAAGGTTTTTATAAATAAATCACAAAAATAAACAACGAAAGCACAATCCTGAAACTTATCCCGATTTTGACAACTGTTTGACAGCTTGTTGGCGGGAACACGCCTCCTCCCTCCCACGCACTGTTTAAGAATACGTTCAATTTAAAAAAATGTTCTACAAGCTGTCTATGGCTTCATATTTTTGAACACATTCTTTTGTTACAGTGCGTTCGAAACGTATTGATCATTGTTTCGAAAGAAAAAGTGATTCTAGAATCTCGAAACTAAAAATAGTACTGTTTTTCGTTATTGAAAAAATTATTTGGTCATAATTTTTTTTAAATACAAAATAATGCAAATGATGATCGATTGATGTAAGAGAAGCAAGAGAGGTTTGCCAGGATTGTGCTAAATGCCAATCGATAGCCTCTGCCTACCCCAATGTGTAGGCTATTGAAATTAAAGTTTGTAACTGAGTTGAATACAAATTTTTTAGAGTTTTTTTATTAACTATATTCAGTTTTGTTTAATATAATAAAGTCGTACATTTTTATAGAAATATAGATATATATATTGAAGTTAGTGAGATGACCTTTGGTTTCAAAACCCACTTGAAATCCTCAGCTGATTTTTTGACAGTTTAAATTTAAGCTGACAGGTTTTAAATAGGTATTTCGAGTCTGAAAACATGTTTATTATTTATTTTGTTACATATAGTGCCAATTAATTTAGTTTTTTTTTTAATGTAAACATAATGTTTAAGATGATTTGTCGCCTGTATCATGTTTCCGCCGTTAATTACAGCGTTAAAAAGTTAGGGGTTAAACTCAATAAAATGTTGAACCCCAGGTCTAAAAAGTAAGTGCTGTATTCATTGTTTAAGCATAAATAATGAATAGGGCACCAAATCGTATGTAACAATTGGCTAAAAAACAATCAGCTGTATTATGTGCTGTTTGATTCAAGCCTATAATTTCAACTTACACAACATGCTTCATTTTTTTTCAGGCAATGGTATCCAGTGCAAATGTACGATGCAAAGCCTATGCCGACTGTAAAAAGCTTAACTAAAGTGGATTGTGAACCTGGCAAGCAAGGAGTGCAGCGTTTGGCTATGTTGAATAAACTATTTATGAAAAATATAACTGATCTTATGTCGACGGGAACTGTTGCTATGGATATTGTAGGTAGAGGCATTGAAATATCAAAAGTAAGTTAATACAGTTAAACATCTAAACTGCACAAAATTTATATAAAAAAGGGAATGTACGATTGTTGGTTACTTAGTATAGTTGGATATAATTTCAGAAACTTCACTCTTGGTTTCACAGATCATAATCTGCACACATACACAAATGAATACTATAAATTTAACAATATTATGCTTGCAAATTAAATAGTGGAAGTGAAGAGTGAGGAAAGTAGTTTTTTTAGAAATTATGGTTGGTCACCATAGATTGGAATTGACTCTATTTTTACCTAAACTTTGACAATCCCAAAAGTAATGTGCTGTATTATGTTTTTGTTGTGTCACTAATAATTTGAGGAGCTTTAGAATAAAAACAGATACATTTCCAATCTAATTTTGTCTAGTTTCATTGAATAGGTTTGTTGCATTGTGTTCAGATCCATGCATTTGAAACACATTTTTATAGATTTTGCAGTTGCTTTTCAGGTTGGATAAATTATTTGTAAAAAGATTCAAAAACTGATTGATGGCATTTAAGAACAGAAGAAGTCCAAATGTGACTTAGCTGTTTTTGTCCTGATGCTCCTCAATTACTATGGTGTAAGCAAAACCATAGCTGTTTATTTTTATAATTTTGTGATTGTAGATTCATTACCTGCTGTAAGTGGCTTCAAGTTTACCTAAATACACTCAGACCACTAAGATCTGTGTTCCTTACAAACTCTGTAGTGTTTTCTTAGTAGGTTCTATTGGTTATGTTGTAAAATAGTTACAAAATTTGTTACTTCATGAAATTAAAACTTGCTGTACACCCATACGGGTATAGGAATTTTATCAATCTAAAAGAGTTATGTAAAAATTTTATAAAACCAACTTGCATAGTTATTAATGTGTATCCTTCAGGTGCTTTATTCTATACAGTATTCAAATTGAATAAAATGTATACATAAATAATGAAGTATTTACATATATCTAAAATAATTATAAATTCCTCCCTCATTTATTGTGACTTATTTATTTTAAAACACTACAATGACTAAAGGCTTAAATACTTTATTAGAAATATAGTTTTTTTTTCAGGTAAAAATTAGTCCAAATTTCCATACATTGAACGTGTTCTGGGTATGTAAAGGAGACACAAGGGATGAGGAGACAGAAGTTTTGCTCCAGAAGATAGCTGGTCCTCTTAGACATGAGTTGTCCACTCTCAGAGTAATGGGTGAAGTGCCGTATGTTATATTTGTTAAAGGTGAATCAACAATTAATTAATTCATGACTTATTGTCAATGGGGCAGTTTATTTTGACAGTTATACATTTTGGACCTAAGGGAAGGTTTAGTGGAGGTTTCTCCTTTTTTTACTGTATATAAAAGTTAACTCTTCGTCTCTATATACGCTGTGGACCCGTAAGAGGTCCGTGTAATGTATGCATGCTAACATAAGAAATGCATATAAAAATTGGTATACTATAAGTTGTGGTTAAGTAGGTACTGTGCGCGTGACCTTTTTGAGTTTTAGATTCCCGCTAGAACCAAATTGGGAAATGTACTTTTCTAACTGGTTTTGGTCTGGGTGTTCTGGGAAGTGTCCCAGAGTGGATTTCGTTGCTCTGGTACTCATGGTACAGGAGATTGTCTAGTTCGAGACCAGATAATTGGTGTGGTTGTCTGGCAGAATATTATATTTAATTCATGGCATTTATTTGGTATCATGATCTATTTGACTTGATCAAACAGAAAAATGTTTTCTTAAAAATCTTTTGCTCAAACAGATAAACACGAAGCTAATCTAGTGGACCTCGACCGTCGATTGGCCATGGCCGACTACGGCGAAGATTATACGCCGACAGAAGTAGGTCATCTGCTGAAAACTGAGTTTACTCTCGACACTAAACTGTCTCCAGAAATGAAGGTGAGGTGTTCTTTACTAAAACATTTTAAGTCCTACATTTTTGCCATTGAATTATTAAACTAATTCACAGTAATTCTGTGCCCTCGGAACACAAAAAGGGATAACTGACATTTTTATCAAAATTGAGCTATGTTCATATAAAAATCACAAACCTACGTTATGTAATAGACGGCCTTAAGTCAGATTGTTTAGACTTTTAGTTCTCTAGAATCCGCTAGATTTTTGATGAACCCATTTAGCGTTATTGCTGAATTGCGGTGCTAAGATTTTCCCTCGAATGGTGACTACTCGAACACAATTTATTAATGTGAAGAACGCCCCTGCGCCCGCCGCTTCGAAGCAGGCAAGCACCATCACCGCCGCGGCCTAGACATGGGGAATAG